GGCCCAGGCCGAGAGCACGGAGGAAGGAGTCCTCGTGCTCGGCCAGTCCGTGGTCACCAGCGCGAAGGAATACCTCGCGCGGTCCGAAGCTCTCCTTAGAGCGCAGAAGCTCCAGTCGAGAATACTGGAGGTTGCGGGAACTGCGATGGTGAAGCTGGAGAAGATCACCAAGCGGGAGGAGTCCCTCAAAACGCTGCGCCGAGAGGGAGAGAGTCGGGCGGCCGGGGAAGGCGCCGACGGGGAAGAGGTGTCTGACGATGGTCAGGACGCCCCCGGGGCTGCAGGGCCGAGCAGTTCCGCCAGGCCTTCGGGAGGCGGGACCGCCCAGTCCGCCTCAGCCTCAGAGGAGCCTCGCCCCAACGCTGACGGCCACTACGGATGTTCGGCTCCGGGATGCGGGCTAGCTTTTGAGTCGCTGGTGCAGTACCACTTGCATCAGGCGGCCTGCCATGGCGCCTCTCTTCCGCCCAACCTGGGGATCAGCCCCTCCGCACCTCTTGACCCTTTTCGTCAGGACTGGCGGGGACGGCTGTTCCGCCGAGGAAAGGACGGTGGGTATGGGGAGGTGCCCATGCTCCGAGTGATTAGGTACCACAAAGCCAACGGGTACGATCACTCGAGAGTCCCGCTCCTGAGGCGAGGGGACCGAATCCAGCTTGAGGATGGATCGCACCACATCTATGGTGGTAGCCATCCGCCGGGGTGGCTTCGCGACGACCCCGAGCTGGACCCCCCTGGTGCTCCAGAGGGAAGCGATGGAGGGTCCACGCCCAAGAGCGAGCCCACGGAGGAGGCCGTGCCCGAGCCTCCGCGGAAGGCCGCTCCGCGCGGGCGGGCCCTCGAGCCGCCGAAGGGCGACGTCCAGCGACGCCTGGCCGAGCGTCGCTCCAAGCGAGATTACTCGCCGGACCTGGTGACGCCTCTCGACGATCTCCATGCCAAGGAGATCGACTCCTTCTTCGCGGGCGACCCAGCCGCGGATAGCCTTGACGTCATTTTGATGCGCGCCGAGGTTCGCACCGAGTCCCACCTCAAGGTTGGCCGGGAGGAGGAAGAGCCCCTGGTCAAGGAGGAACAGGAGGAGGAGGCTGAGGTCGTCAAGGACGAAGAGGTCTCGGTTGAGATGGAGGCTGCCACCGCGGATGAGGCGGACGAGGTCGCCCTCCCAGCCAACCGAGCCTACGTCGAAGGCCGCTTTTACCCCTACGGCAGCTGGCGGTGCTTCTTCTGCGAAGCCATTAACCCGGTTACCGAGGACCAGTGCCTCACCACGCACGCGGGCGGCCCGAATGCGGGCGCCCCGTGCGACGGCCGATGGATCAATGGGATCGACATCGGGTGGTGGGAGGTGGATCCCCAAACCGCGCCGGAGCAATGGCGGCGGAGGTTTTCTGCCGAAGAGCTTGAAGACCAACAAGCGCGGGCAGATGCCGCGAGGCTCCTCAGCGATGAGGAACTCGCCGAAGCCCTCCAGGCGGCCGAGGAGGCGCAGGCGGCCGAGCGCGCCAAGAAGCGGGAGCGGCGCCAGGCGGAGAAGGCGGAGCGCGATGATCACATCAGCGAAGCGCTCCGCATAGCAGGGTGGCAGTGCCCTAACTGCTATGAATGGAACCTTTCATTCAGGCAGTTGTGCTTTAGGTGCAGCACACCTCTCCGCTTGGCAGAGGTCGTGTCCCGCGGGATCCCGGATCCGCGGCGCGGCGGACAGAGGGACTCGGGCTCCGAGAGCAGCCAAGATGAGCTGGAGTACGAGATCCTTCTGGCCAATCGCGCGATGGATCAGGAAACGATCCAGCCTCTTCTTAGAAGCAAACACAAGAAGAGGGGCGGCAAGAGACGTCGCGAGGAGGCGACGCACGGCAAGGGCCGCGACCCGTGGGGTGCTTGGGCAGACGCCCGTGGCAAGGGCCAGGGCAAGCCGAAGGGCAGAGGCAAGTCCGATGCCAAGGGCAAGCCCAAGGGGAGGGGCAAGTACGCCTGGGGCGCTTTCGCCGCGGGCATTGTTGCCGCGCTCCAACCCCGCCCAAGCACCAGCTGGGTCCCAGCTTACCCGTGCGGGTCGGCCCGGCCGCCGCCGAGTGTTCCGCTTCCGCCGCGGACCCCCTTTTTCCTGGGTCGCGGGCTCCTCAATCGGTTGATGCACGCCCTCAACGGGAACATCAACGGCTGGTGGGGCCTGGCGGCTGCAGCGTCGGCGCCGATTGCCTTGCAGTTGCACCGCGGGGTCGTGCATGTCGTCGAGGACTCCATGCACGCGGTTGCAACGGTTTCGGCCGACGTTGTTGAGGAAATCGGCCATGGGGCCAGGCGGACCGTGTGGGTCGCCGGAACAGCCATCACTCTGGTAGTAGTGATCTTGTGCGGTGCTGTTCTGTGGTACGTGAGTCGTGCCGTTGCCAATCGCATTGCGCATTTGCGACATGGCAACACCGCGGCCCCTGAGGCGCGGCTGTCTCAGCTCCTTGGCTCCGAGGCGACGTTTGAAGTCGCGAGCACCAAGAAAGGGGTGACCCATAAGGTTTGGGTGCATCTCAAGGAGGAGACAGCTGCCTGTGGCTGTCGTGCTTACCTGGCAGAAGGACGCTGCGGGCATTGCGATGCCGCAATGGACACCGCTCGTTCCTTAGGGTTTTTGCACGCGGCCCAGCGAGGCGCGGGTCCTGCGCTCACAGACTCCATTCGGAGTACCGCCTCCGATGCCCTAGCTAAGGGTAAGGTGGTGTTGGGTTTGGGGAACAGTGAAGGGTGTTTCTCCCAACTCGCGGCCAAGAGCCGCGGGCTCTCCTGCTTTCAGGGGCTCGCGGGTCGTGACCTGGCCGCGGCCCCAGCAGATGGAGCGAGCGCAGCCCACGCACATTCCGGCTCCGTGCAACGTGCCGCCACTGCCACTGTGGCGCGCACGCCAGGCCGGAGGAACAAGGGCCCAGCCCCCGCTAGGAGTTCTCCAGTCAAAGAAGCGGAATTCCTTGCGGGCGGGCCATACATTCAGGCCGCCCAAACGCTGCTTGGGTCCGGAGCAGCAGAGGATGTGATCTACATCCGGGCTTACAGCTTAGATTGCCCATCCTGCATCGAGGCAATCGAAGCGTCGCTTGGCAAGGGCGCAAGCGTTCGGATTGTCGCCGACATGGGACAATGCCACCGCACCAAGCTTCAGTGGCAAGCGTTGAAACGCTTGGCGGCCGCAGGTGCCGAGGTGAAGGTGGGTTGCGGCACATCCTTGCGCGACGCCTATGCTCGCGACGGCCGCGGGGCTAAGGTAGGCACCGGGATTCAAGGGCTGCACCATGCCAAGGCCCTTTGCCTACTGCGGCCTGACGGCGCGGTGGTGCTGATTGGGAGCCTCAATTTTACCACAAGCAGCAAGGCCAATGCGGAGGCAGGGCTTAAGCTTGAGGTCCCCAAGACGCACCCTGTCGCGCAGTCCTACGTCGAGGAATTCCAGAGGGTGTCGGCCGAGGCATTCTCCCTCGATGAGGCGGTTGCAAAGCGCCCTCAGTTGGAGCGAGCCAGTAGCTCCAACGTTGCTGGCAACGCCGCTCGTGCCCCCAACACTGCTCCACAGGGTATCGAGTAGGCTGCTGCCAGTTGGCGCGGCGTGGTATGCATCCACGCATTATCAGAGCAGGCGTTGCAGCACGGCACGTTGCTTCGCCAACCTTTTGCACTTTCTTTTGCGTGACTGCGGGCGAAAAGCCGCGGCAGGTTGGAAGCCTGCCCATTTTGCATTCCCCGCACTTTTCTTCTCCGCCCTGCCTGTGGCCCCTCTTGTCGAGGGAGCTCTTTTGCAGGTGCTGCGGACCGTGTCCTGGTCGCGGCAGTGCGCTCGCCGAAGCGCGTGCGAGTTGCACTGGCTGCGGCACAAGCGATGTGCGCGGCTCTCGCTGAGTCCGGTAGCCCGTAGGGTAGTTCTGGATAGGTGAGTAGCCGTAGCCGTAGCTTAGGGCCGGTAGTTTGTACAGTGTACCATTTGTACCATAGTCTGCGTACTGGCAGCTAGAGACCAGCTCGAGGATTCAAGAGCCTCGCCCACCAGCAAAAGGGTGAGGACCTCCGGGGAAAGGGCTGCTGAGGGTTGCTGTCGTCGTGCGTTCGTTGTGGTGGTGCGGGCTAGCGTCCCTGCCGCATGCCAATGCTCATGATGTGCGGACCACCGCGGTCGCACGCGACACCCTCTCCCTTCCCTTTCTGTGTTCAGCGCGAGTGCCTGCTGCACTCCGAGCTCGAGATGAGCTGGAAGCCTCGGCTGAGGGGCGAATGTGAGCAGGTCTATGCACGCACGCTGCATGTGCAAAGCTGCCAGGGCCAGTACTGTAGTAGTTTTCCTTTGCATGCGTAGTTTTGCAATTCGTAACAATGCCAATGTTTTGGCTCAAGTACCGAGCTTGTGCCTTTGAGCACGGTAGTTTCGTACAGTAGCTCTTAGGTTGCTGTGCGGTCCGACCGGACGCACTCAGGCGTAGCTGCACAAGTGCTTGAACTCGCGAAGTCGTAAAACAGCGTGGCCGGGCTGTGATTGCATTGGGTGAGTGCAAGTCCAGTGCTGGTCGACTTCACAACTCGGATAGATATATCAATATATATATATATATATGTAGACATATGCATATATATATATATATGTATATATATATATATATATATTGATACAGATAATGATACATACATACATATATATATATGATAAACCTATGAATGAATGAATGAATGAATGAATGAATGAATGAATGAATGAATGAATGAATGAATGAATGAATGAATGAATGAATACATGCTCTGTGCTCCGTCTCTTCTTTTCGTGCCGGCTGCACCCCGGGAAGCAGAGGCGTCGCTAGCCTGACTGACATTTGCGACGGCCCGTCCGGCCTCTTGCAGCGCCTTGTTATAGGAGACGAAGTAAAACGGGAAGTCTCCGTCATCCTTGACACCGTTGTCGCGTCGCCACAGGCGGACCCTCTCGGACTGAACTGCCATCCGGCGACGGCATGGCCCCACGGACCCTAGGCACCGGCCTGTCTGTCTGACCGGCCCAAGCGGCACAGCCACTACTGTATCTGCCCCCTCCCTCCAGCGGCCCCCGCAGCAAGGCTGGCTGCGCCGCAGGCCTTGGCAACTCGCCACACACAGTGGCACCAAGAAAAAGGGAAGAGGCCACCCTGGCTCTCCAGCCACTGTCTGTGGCAGCCAGATTGGCTTAAGCCAGAGCGCCGAGAGGCGCATAGAACAATAACATGTTGCCAAGCCCACCGAACCGGGACATGTAACAGAAGTAAATAAAGAAATAATAAAGAAATAGACAAAAACTAAAACAAATAAACAAAGACATAAATAAAGAAATAAATAAGGCTCCGTGTGACTAGGATCCCCAAGAAACCCCCACGTGAAGCCTGACCAGGCCTCTTCATCAGCAGCACGTACATGCTTCCGCCTCCAAGGAGGAGTTCGTGGTTCAAGGTCTAGGGTTTCGGGTTTCGGGAAGCTTCAGACGTTTCAGGACCCAGCAAGAACTGCGGCCTAAGGTCTCGGGCATAAAGTGCTCAGGGCAGAGGCAGGGGACTACACCGTGTCTTCCGACCTCTCCACCTACAGGGCCTGCTGATACCCATTGAGCGAGCCCATGAAGCACTGCCCCAAAACTCCATGACTGCAAGAACCTCGTAACCCCGACCCCCTCGCCCTGCAACATCGGGTGCTCAAGCGCCGCACCTCAACAACCCTACCATACTTGACACGCACACATTCAGCAGCCCAATCATAAACAACAATCATCTACGAATCTGGAGAAAAACTTAGGGGGTAAGTGAGGAGTCGGGTTGACAAAAACTTTCTTGTTCAACATTGAGCTTTTGAAGTGCCAACCACGAACACGTGATAAAAACTATGTTGAAAAGCATCACCCCCACTCTTCAAGGTAAACGGACAACAGCCCCAGGATCTAAACCCTAACTCCTCTCCCCCCCCCCCCCCAAGCCTCCGAAGGCTGTCAGCAAGGCCCCCGCCAGGCCCCAGGCGACCCACTCGGGGCCTTTGGGCTTGGGGGGGTTCAGGGTTTTGGGCGGAAACTTGGGATGTTCACCCTTTATGCTAACAGTCCTTAAGAGTGATGACAATGGGGGGTACTATAATCCCTATTCAGGACTGTTTAGTATAAGGGGGAGCATCCCAAGTGGAAGAGTGTTGTAGCGGCAGTGCTTTGCTTCGGGCTCGCTCTCAGAATGAAGTCTGAATGGAATCCGACTTCTCTGTTGTGGTGAATTTTGGCCCCCCCTGATCTTCTGCGACTTCCGGTGCTAGGGGCCAGCCAGGGTTGCAGCCAGGGCAAGCCTGGAGCCTTCAGGGTTAAGGTTGAAGTTTAGGCTTCGTTCCTTGCCGTTCGGCAACCTCCTCGAACCTCCAACTCACGTACTTGAGACCCAAAACTTGGGGATCCGCTGCTTCGGGGGGCTTTTGAAGCCTTGGTGCTGGGAAACGCCGGGCCCGGATATTTCAAGTGCATGCAGCGGCCACCGATATAGCCGCAAATCGCCAAGGATGCCAGATCCTGGGCTGGAATAGGGTTTAGGTTTTAGGGTTTAGGGTTTAGGGTTTAGGGTTTAGGGTTTAGGGTTTAGGGTTTAGGGTTTAGGGATGGCTGGGGGCCTCGAGGCCCTGAAGTCTGAAGAAACCAGGCCCTCTTTCAACAACCTGGAGGCACAGAGCATAGGGCGAAGGAACTGAGTTTGTGGTTTGGGATTGGGGTCTTTCGACTAAACACTTGCACTGAAACCTACACCCTACACCCTACACCCTACACCCTAAACCCTAAACCCTAAACCCTAAACCCTAAACCCTAAACCCTAAACCCTAAACCCTAAACCCTAAACCCTACAAGACCAAGGCACGGACTCTGCATAGGACAGGATGGCTGGCCTCCTGTTGCTGCCCTCATCTTTGGCCACCATGGCAAGTGCATGGGGTGGCGGGGCATCTCCAGCCTTCTTCTAACTGCCTTTCTTTTCAGATGGCAAGTGTACAGGGTTTAGGGTTGAGGGTTTAGGGTTTAGGGTGGGTGGGTGGGTGGGGCACGCAAACCCTTCCTTACCGTTCTTAACTCACCCCTAAGCAGGGCCTTTTGGATCTTGGCGTTCTTCAAGGCTTTCGGGTCTTCCGGGCACTGACTGAAGGAGTGGCCATCTCTCACTTGGAGCCCTCGGCATCTCAGAACGGCTACTCTGCTTGCACACCTGCTGCAGGGTTTGCTTTTTGGGGTCAATTTGGACTGCAACGTGGGAACTTCGCAAGCAGCTTCACAGAGCACGCGATGACGTGATCGACCGCAGATGCCGCTCAAATGCTGATTCGATCTCCAACTCTGACTCCAACGAACACCCAAGACACGCCTGCACGTTCAGCTAACCCTACACCAAGATCGACTTTTGAAAGTCTGAGCTGCCCTGACAGTAGTTTTGGATGCCAGAGGAAATCCTTAGACACGATCCTCTGAGCATGCCCCAAAGGCACCCCTGGCGTTTGACACGCAGATCTTTGTCTAATATCTCCGCGACTGCTTGCAAAGTCGGGCACTCACTTGCCATCCGTCCGGGGACGTGCGTCTGGTGGTGGCCCCCCTACCGCAAAGCTGTCCTGCAAATGTTCACGCATGCCCACAGTTTGATTGGGCCTTGCAAAAGAAAGCAAGTTTATATGATACATATACCCCTGCGTATAAGTACCCATGAAGCTCCAAGCAAGCAATCGTTGTGCTCGTTTGTCTCGCCTTTCCACCTGTCATCCTTGCACATGGTAGGTATGCGGATGCGCGGACCGCGCGGGCAGGGGTGATGTTCCGGTCCCTGATATGCAACCTCCTCCCTGCAAGTCGTCACGCGCGCGCGCGCGCGCGCGAGCACGGATTATGTCAATGCCCTTATGAGCCCTCCGAAAAAGAAGTCCCAACAGGATCCTCTCAGAACAAAATGCGGACACTTGCAGATTCTACGCGAAGAAGACCCAAGGGCCTACCTAGCCCAACAAAGGGCCCATATGTACATACATATATATATATATATACATATACATATATTATATTTATGTATATATATATACATATTTATATACATATATATATATATATCAGCCCACCCTGCACGAACCGCTCTCCGGAAGCAGTGCTGCTGCGCCCGCGCCGCCGCCAGACCATCCCAGCATCGCAGAGTCCTGGGTTTAGGGTTTAGGGTTTAGGGTTTAGGGTTTAGGGTTTAGGGTTTAGGGTTTAGGGTTTAGGGTTTAGGGTTTAGGGTTTAGGGTTTAGGGTTCAAAAGTTGAGGGGATGTGGTTCGGGCTTCGGGTTTCAAATCCCGGCCTTCGATCTTCAATTCCAAAGGTTTTTGCAACATTTTTTTGCTGAATTGAAGGGCTTCGACCCTCACACAAATTCCGTCAGGATCTAGCTATGATTGCCTTTTTGGGTTAAGTTGTTGGGGCCCGGCTTCGGCACCCAGTTAGGGGCTGCATTTTTCGCCACCCGTCTAGCGAGCGCGCCACGGGTGATTAATTTTGCTTTTTTTGCCACACGAGCCCAAATTCGATGGTGGAATGCCCCATCCCCCAAGGACAGCACCAGGAAGCAACACCCAACCCTGAACCCTAAACCCTAAACCCTAAACCCTAAACCCTAAACCCTAAACCCCAAAGCAGCCCTCGACCTTCTCCAAGACTCCACTACCTAACTTCGCCTGGCATGGACTTGCGTGCTCACTCGCAAGGATCCCACAGGCCGGGAAGCCTCACTGAACTAGGACGCGATATAAGTTTAGGGCTTAGGGTTTAGGGTTTAGGGTTTAATTTAGGGTTTTTTTGGGTTGAGGGTTTAGGGTTTGGGGGGGGGGGGGGTGTATGAACAAGCACTCCCAGCGCATTACGCTGCAGGCGGCTTTGTACAGGCGAAGAGGATTGTACAGCCATCTTCGGGGCCCTCAACAAACCAGTTCACACATCAGGCAAAGAAACTAGGTACTTAGCGTAGCAAAGACCCGTAGAACTAGGGCTTCTTTCGGGCTTAGGGTGTGTATAGGGTTTCGGGCCAGGAGCTCGGTACCCTAATTGGAGAAATACCCAAACATTGTGGAAACTTGGTGTTCCGCTATTCTTGGGAAATATCCAGAAAATCCCCGAATTTTGCGCCCTCTTGAAAAGCAGCCAAGAAAAGTGGATGCCGCGCCACGCACAGCATCCCTTCGGACGGGCAACCGCCCACTGTTGCTTTCGCCTCGGCTCCCACATGCGGAGAGACTGTGTAGGCTTAGAGGCTTAGGGTTCCCTTAGAGGCGCTCAATTGTCACAGCCTGAGGACATCGCAATGTGCTGCGTTTTGGAGGCGCACGTGCCGGGGCAGCCCAGGCAAGTGCTGCATGCAGTTCTGGCTAGGTCCCTCATAGCAGCACAAGGAGTTGGCATGACGCTATGGGAACTCCACTCGGAGTGGTTATGCGCACATGTGCGCGCACATGTATGTGCGGGATTGCGCTCCATGACTGCACGGAAGAATATGCCAAGATGTGTGCGGCATTGGTTTCTTTTCTTGAGTGATACTGTGTGTGTGTGCTCACTCCGCTGCCTCTGCTTTTTGATGATTTTTGCTGTGCCCTGAGCATCCTCGCAGCTATGTTGCCGAGGCATCGCTGGAAGCAACTGCTCCAATGCACTCGAGTTGCCAGCGGCTCGCCGCCAACGATGGCGCCAACTTTGGCAACTACCACCCTCAAGCCGTCCTTGCTTCGTGGGGCAGGGGCCTTGGTGAGGGCTTCGGGCACGGGGTCGGTCTTCCATCGATGACTATATACATATATATATATATATCTATATATCATGAAAACCCCCTGAGCCGGAACACTAACAAAATCCTAAAACAACAATGAGCCACACAAACAGCCCACCAAGACCTCAAGACTACAACGCTAAACCCACTGATCCTGCAGAACCGAAGCCCTAAAAATTGGCTACGTCCACCATGCGAGTGCTCAGATCTTCTTGGAAGAGCAAATCTTGACACAGCAGAAGGTTTTAGATTTCACGCCGACACGTCAAAATTCAGTGGCAGTTTAGGGTTTAGGGCTTAGGGTTCAGGGTTTAGGGTTCAGGCACAGGGGGTTCGGCACACCATGATATTGCATAGGATTTGCTAGTGTTGGCATGTGTGGATACTTCCGGCGAACTTTCAATAGTTCGCGCGCGCGTAGTCTGCCCAAGTTGCAAGACACAGATGTAAAACGGTCCACGAAAATGCATTGGGCAAAATTTGCGTGTTAAAGACGGCGGTAGTATTTTTGATCTTTTTTCGGCTAATTGATTTGTGGCCACGGCCGTCTATGAGGAAGAAAGAAGCAAAAACCAAGCAACTAGCAGCGTTTTGGGCATGTTGGCAAACGGCATGAACACTTGTGACAGTGCGTCTGGTTGCAGAAACCTCAAACATAAGAAGCAAAAAAACGCAAGATTGCGAAACGGTCCAGTGTTGTGGGCATGCTCACCAACGGCCCCTCCTTAAGCACCCCCAAGCCCATAAGCCCCATAGCCCTAAACCCTGAGCCCTAAACCGCTTCCAGGGCCCAGTCCTTGACGTTGGACGCATTTGTCACGATCCTCAACGGCGCCGAGTCCCCAACATCGACCTCCAGCTTCTTCAACTTGTCCTTGGGGGCTTCAGGAGGCTTTAGGGTTTAGGGTTTAGGGTTTAGGGTTTAGGGTTTAGGGTTTAGGGTTTAGGGTTTAGGGTTTAGGGTTTAGGGGCCACAAAGGCTCCTTTTCTCCAGGTTGGTGCACTTCTGGGGCGTTTTTGTTGTGGCACCTGCCTTCGCAGCACACTGCAGGCACTTTTGGGCTTAGGGTGTAGGAGGTTTTGGGTTTTGGGATTTTGGGTCTTTAGGGTTTAGGGTTTAGATTTGTTGCGGGCTTTTTCGGGCTTGGGCGCGAGTTTCGAGGGTTCAGGGCTGAATGTTCCACTTTACTAAGCCGTTACGAAGCAGTCGCCTCTGAAAAGAAGTAACCCATTCCCCTGCAGCCCCGAATACTAAAGAAGTAGTGTGTGCTCAAAAGCACTGCGTCATATACAAGAGTGGAACGTTCAATCATAGGGAACAAAAGCGTTCAAAACACATTGGAATAGGGGGGGGGGTGCTATTGCAGCGTTACCCGCTGGACAGGAGCTGCCCATGCCCAATTTCACTTGAAGCCCGAACTAACTCTTCGCCGATAATCCGGTGCCCAATTTCCAGCCCCCGAGCCATCAAAACGAACCTGCAAAACGAAGCCAAGGCCAAGAAACCTTGCCAGGAACGGGCTCGCAGGTCCTGGGACAAGGATTGATCTCTCATAGTCTACCTGTTAGGTCCCAAGGCAACCCAGGAGGTCTGTTTTCTGGGGTTTAAGGCAACCCTCTCCCAGAAGAAAAAGAAGAAGAAGAGCCCACTCCGGTGGCAATTTCAGTGGGTTTAGGGTATAAACCCTTTCGCAGTATACCCTAAACCCTGCACCCTTTCTAGTTTGGGGGCCAGGCGGGGCGGGGGCGGGTGGCTTTGACCTGGAGTCAAGTCGTGAAAACCAAGAAGCGAAGGTTTCGGGCTTTGTGGTCCAGGGTTTGGGGTTTAGGGTGGGGCTTCGGGGGGGGGGGGGGGGGGGGGGGGGGGGGGGGGTTGTGGGTGGCGCTCATCAGACGCATGCAGCTTCAACAGGGCATCTGTCAGATACCTGCTTGCTTGCCCAGGCAATCGCACGATCCGGATTTCAACTGTCACACTTGTACACACCAGATGCCCGGAAGCCTTTCGCCCCAAACAAAAAAGACAGGTCTGATTCATATCAAGGCTATGCTCATACGAGCTGCACGCCACAGGGTCCGGATCTCTCCCGAAAGTCTCAGTTAAAGCCGCTCGTGTTTATTCGGGCGCCACAAATCTTCAAAACCTGAAACCTGATACGCATGCGCCCTAAACCCTAAACCCTAAACCCTAAACCCTAAACCCTGTGCCAACCAGGGCTCTGCACCAGGCCCACGACGTAGCCCTCGAACTTCGGGTCCACCACTGCGGGCCGGGGCGCCTCCCCAGTTCCCTCGCAGCCCCCTTAGGGTTTAGGGTTTAGGATTTAGGGTTTAGGGTTTAGGGTTTAGGGTTCAGGGTTCAGGGTTTAGGGTTTAGGGTTTAGGGTTCCTCGCAGCCCCCCCTAATTGGGGGCTGCGAGGGGGTCAAGGGGAAAAGGTGGGTTTATTAGGGTACCGAAACCCTAAACCCTAAACCCCACTTTAGGGGTTTAGGGTTTTGGGAGTTTAGGGGTTAGGGGGTTGGTTGGGAGCACCCTTTCGTGCAGGAATGCAAGGGATCCTCACCGTCTGCTTCGAGGGGTCATTCTGCTCGTATTCTCTAACCCTAGTACCATCTCCCCCCCCACCCCTAAACCGTAACTACAACCTAAACCCTAATAGATCATCTCTCTTTCCTTTGCTGCCTTGCGAGGCGGATTCCGGGGATTGGCAGGCGAAGGGACGCAAGGATTCGTGCGCCCTGTGTTGCAGCACACCACGAAATCCTGAACACGAAGCCCGAAGGGCTTAACCCGGGTTTGTGAACGTAAGGGCTGCGGGTTTCAATGGCTAAGGGCGCCTTTAAGGCTGTTAGGGAGTCTTGTGGGGGTTCAAGGAACTTAGCCCTTTTGAACCCAGAGAACTGAGGCCGACTCGCCGAGTCCATCACAACGCAAGCGAAGTAGCAAACTACAACACAAGAGCTTGGCCCCATAAAACCCTAAGCACTAAACCTTTGGATGTTCCCCCTTATACTAACAGTCCTTAATTGGGAATATAGTACATACCCCCTCTTGTAATCCCTACTAAGGACGGTTAGTATCTCTTTTCATCCCTATAAAGGACTGCTAGTATAAGGGGGCCAAGATGAACCCTCTGAAGCTTAATCTCGAGGTTTGGAGAAGGCTCGGGTGCCTCGCCTCACAGGCCACACACGTCGCTTCTTCCGCTGGGTTCTCCTGCCCCATGCTGGGTCCCCACAGGTCTACGCAGGGCATGTGAGGGATTTCCGCTCACCGTGGCATGTGCGGGCGAGGCTCTGGGCCAGGGCTTGGGGTTTAGGGCTTAGGGTTTGGGGTTTGGGGTTTAGGGTTTAGGGTTTAGGGCTCAGGGCTTAGGGCTTAGGGTTAGGGTTTAGGGTTTAGGGTTCAGGTGAAAGAGGAGCACACGCACCTACACCTAACACTAAACTAACAGCCAGCCGTACGGATTGCGGGTCAAGGAAGCTCTCTTCACTTTAGGCAGTCAGCGAGCGCGCAATACAAAGGAAGGCGCCCACCAACCCACCCGTTTTTCTCCTCCCAGAGCAAGCATCGAGCACAACCCCCTTTTTTGCAAGCCCCCTTGAACCAAAACCCGACACCTCAACCCTGCACCCTGACCTCTCCTCAACCCTTTCTGCATAAGGCTTGCTGGGTACACCCTAAAAACCCTGAACCTAAACCCTAGAAACCCTCAAGCCTCACCACAAACCCCAAACCCTAAAACCTAAACCCCAAACCCTAAACCCCAAACCCTGAACCCGAAGCCCTAAACCCTAAACGCAAAACCCCGAACCTCACGCCCCTGGCGCCTGCTCGCAATTGGGGCAGATCCAGGGCTCAGCCTCGACTGGCTCGGGGGTGGCCGCGGCCTTGGCCTTGGCCTTCTCCTTCCTGGGTTTAGGGTTTAGGGTTTAGGGTTTCGGGTTTGGGGTTTGGGGTTTGGGGTTTGGGGTTTGGGGTTTGGGGTTTGGGGTTTGGGGTTTGGGGTTTGGGGTTTAGGGTTTCGGGTTTCGGGTTTAGGGTTCAGGGTTTTAGGGTTTTAGGGTTTTAGGGTTTTAGGGTTTGAGGGTTTTAGGGTTTTAGGGTTTAGGGTTTAGGGTTTAGGGTAGCCAGATACTTCTGTGTTTCCTCGAATGGTCCTGCTCCTTCCGTGCAACCATGCCTTCACATGCCTGCTTTCATAATGACACGGGCGTATTGTCTTATGTTGACTGTGTGAACGATACAAAACTAATGATCGTAACCATGCAATAGAGAGAGAGAGAGAGAGACAGAGGGAACATATGAATAAAATGAAAGAGAAAAAGAAGGAAGATGATACATGAAGAGTCAAAACGACCCTATAAACTGTCTGTTTGACTTGTACAAGGAGCAAAGTGACGCACAAAGTCAGCTAAAAATCGGGGGGGGGGGGGCTTTTGCGATCACTTCTCACTTGTATCGTCACCGACACTGCGTAGATTTTCAAGCCTCCGAAGCCCAAACATCCAAACCACTGAATGCTTGCTCCAACCTTCACCATACACTGCCATACACTCCTTGCCGGCCACGCGGCGGCTTCTTTCCCATGGCTCGCAGCTATTAAGGCCAGGTCATAGAGGCGGGTCTCGAGGAGTAAGCTTTCTTTTCGTAACTCCTACATTGGCAGACTGTGGCTAGAACATAACCTACACCATGACAGTGCTGCATTTTCAAGCGATGAAGCGACTTGTCATTCCATCGTCTGGAGCTTTGCTTTATGGCTGCCTGCGACACTTGCAGAAGCGTACGCAGGCGTGACTCTCACGGGGTGGCAAATCGGCTCAAGACAAGTTTTTCTGGTTCTGGGCAGGTATTGCATTGACGTCTTGGCAAAAAGAGTCTTCCACTGCCACAGGTACGGAAAAGCGGTTTAGGCGTGGCTCCAGGGGGTTCAGCGCTCGATCAGATTCTGTGCCTTGCTGAGCCCTGCTGCAAACAGGAAAAAGGCAACCCGAAACCCTCAACCCTAAATCCCCGGCAGTGGACTACTACACAGATGCAAGGGACTGCAACGTCCACGGTTGAAGGCACTTGGGGGCTGACGACTTGTTTTTTCATGAAGCCCTTGAGATCCCAATGGACTACAAATAGGCATTTTCCAAACTAGGTGTACCCCTTTTATACCCCAACTAGAATAAAGTCCCCTTCCCAAAAAGGATGCCCCTGTTTCCGAATCCCCTACAAAAACTCATCCAACTCCCACGAGCTCAAGAGCAGGCCTACGACTGCTGCTCAAGCCCGCGCCCTCAACCGCAGGCACGCAAAACGGCGAAGCGGGCAAAGATCTTCACTGGCAGCTTCCTTGGGCAAACTGCCAGGCAGGGAGGCAAGCATCATGCTGCAGTCTTGGGTGGCTGTATCAGGGTCTTAGCGATTCAGAAGTCGGGTTGCCTCCTGCGGTCCTGGCGCCAGCTCGCGAGGACTATCCTTCCATGTGCTAGGCAAAGCGTGGATAGCCAGTGCGCTTTAAGCGAGTCATGTCAGGATGCCAAAGGGCAGGGCCCTCCGCCCATCGCAGCATGTCGCTACTTTTGACTTCGGGGCACCTACCCGAAAAACACTCGTATCCTTACTCTAGGAACCCCTGATTTGGGAAAGCCCCATTTTTGTTCATCTGAACCTGGACTGCGATGGGCAGGCTGAAAGCAAGAATGGGGCACCTGCGACGGCAAAACACTTAAACCAGTAAGGAGCCGGACTGCATCATTGATGGACGCCGACGGTAGTGTTGTAGCTGCAAGTCCCACTTCGACATACTTCGATCCCCGCCGGCTCCTTCCCTTCACTGCTCGCGAACGCAATCTGCAAGGGCCGTGCATGCTTTTAGATAATGTGTCCTCCTTTCCAAGAACCCTAAGCCCTAAACCTTAGGACTGAGGGGATGGCCGCAAGAGGCATATTGTAGGAGTGGGGAAGAACGACATCTCCAAAACCGGGGACTCTGCGCAGGCACCCGCCGAGGGTTTGAGCATGGGGAAAACCAGTGGGAACCGTTTTGGGCAGGGCCAAGAGTCCTATGGTCTCGGCTTTTGGAGGTTTTGTATAAGTCTCGGGCGAAAAAGAGTTTAGGAAAATCTGACAAGGGCTTTTGGCTCTTTCATGTGTCCCCTGACCCGACTGCAGCAGATCATGGCCTATACCCTCGCAGAAGCTCGCAGCGAGCGCTGTGGCTATGGGACCCGAGACTTTTGAAGTCTTGTGTCCGACTGGAGGTTCACCTCTGGCTGAACTGCGAAACACAGGCAGGCGTGGTCAAAGACGGTACCAGTAAAAACAACCAAGAGCGAACGAAGGCCCGCTGAAGCAAGCAACTGAGCATCCTGATCTTGCAGGCTGGGGCCCCCTAAGTTTCACCCTCCGGTGTGTCCTCCAGCCCCCGGAAAAACCTACCGCGGCCCATCGGAACCCTGCCGCACATTGGCAGATCGAGGCTCCAGCCTGTCAGCTCTTCAAGGGGCACTGCGTTTCTCTGGGTTCCACCTTGAAACTCGTTTGAAAAATGTCTGATGCGTTAGGCCCTGAAAAACCCAAAGAAGGAAGATGTAACAGATGCCGAAAAGCCAACCTAGTTCTGGTTTTAGGGTTCAGGATGGGTCTAGGGAGTTTCTTTTCATTCTTTTCACTCCCGCCTCCAGCCTCCAGCTTTGGTAATTGGGAAGCGTTTTGGGGTCTTGGGGCCGGTTGTTGAGTGTGCTGCTTGTGTGTTCAGGCGTTGAGGGCGTCTGCTTGCAGAGATGAATCTCATGGCGATCCCGGGGTGCCCGCTGGTTTGCGCGTGCCGGCCCCCAACTCAACAAACTCCAAGCTCGCGAGCCTAAACCCGAACCCCTCAGAAACTCCTTTTATGCCCAAGCCCCAAAAGCCTAAAACCCTGAAGCCCCTAAACCCTAAACCCTGAACCCCAAACCCTGAACCCTAAACCCTAAACCCTGAACCCTCAACCCTAAACCCTAAAACCGAAACCCCCTTAAAACACCCGCAACCGCGTGCACCTGCGGTCTTTGGGGGACTTGCGATTCCCCCTCGGTCGCCTGCGGTAGTGCTGAGAAGATCCGGAGCGGCGGCCCCACAAAGACACAAGCCTGGAGCCGGGTTTTGGGTTTAGGGTTTAGGGTTTGGGGTTTAGGGTTACTGTTCAGGGACTCAAATGAAGCTGCCCTCATGCGGTTCAACAAAAAGTAAGAAGCCATGTGCCTAGCTTGTGAAGGCAATGTAGTTGAAGTTCCTTCAACTGCAACCCAGGGAATTTGGCCACACAGACCGAAAGGGCAGTTTCTGCGCAGGAGATGCGTAAGCTGCGCCGGGAGAGAGATCGGCGCTCCACAGGGGGGGGGAGGGGGGGGGGGTGATCGTGCACTTTGGGGCATCCCTTCTGCTACCGTCCTGAACTCCCCCAAACTTTAAGTCTTTTCCGGGAAGTCGCTGCCTTGGCAGGGCTCAAAAAAAACGGATCACAGCATCATGGCGGCGAACTCCACGTAGTTGATTCTTCCTGGCCACGTCATGTGTCGGCCACACGTGCTCTTGAGTTGTTTTCGAAAGGCAGGGCTGAGTGCTCCGTGATGGAATCTAGCGGGTTTGTAGATGGCTCGAGACATGCTGTTGAACTGAGGCTGGGCGAGTCGGATCTAGCCGCGGAGGGGAATTAAGCATGAAAGCACTGAGCATAAACAGCCTGAAGACCCACTGGATCACGTACCGAAACCCACGAACCTGCAAAGCTCTTAAACCCCATGAACCCAGGCCCTCCCTGCAAGCTTCCAAGATTGAGGTGGGGTCATCTCTGGTACCTGCAGATCGCAATTCAGAGTGCCCAATCCCTGCACGCGAGCGGTCCATCCGCATCAGTGTCGGCTTCTTCAAGCATCTCATCCAACTCTTCCTTAGCTCCAGTCGACAATTCCACACCCTGTGGTGCACAGATAAACCTGTCCACCCCAAGGCTTGCAACGGAGCCCTGCGCTCATCCGTGAAGAGGAGAAACCCTAAACCCTAAACCCTAAACCCTAAACCCTAAACCCTAAACCCTACCTAAACCCTAAACCCAAAACCCAAACCCCACACCCCCGGCCCCCCCCAGCCAACAACCCCCAAACATCCTTTTTGCCCGAACCCCCAACCACACACCCAAAACCAAACCCCGCCCTCCCCCGAACCGCCCCCACGCCCCCCCCCCCCCCCCCCCCAAGGGCTTGCAAACAAGCTTCGTCCGTGTATTCCTCTCCCATGCTCTCCATGACGGCACCCAGCTCGGTCTTGTCAATGAAGCCATTGCCATCCTGGGGAGGGCTACCTCTTTAGGGCCTTTGGGGTTTAGGGTTTAGGGTTTAGTGTTTAGGGTTTAGGGTTTAGGGCTTAGGGTTTAGGGTTTAGGGTTTAGGGCTTGGGCCTTTTTGTCTTAGAATGCCTAATTCGGGTAGTTTATGGACATGTTCATAATACGTGGGGAGGGCATCACATTGGTTTTGGGCGTCTGCACTACTTCTTGGCTAAGGTTCTGCAGAACCTGATCGAGGATCCCAACTATGCAAGAGGTCACTTGGGGTCTAGGGCCTTGCGGTTGGAGATTAAAGGGTTTAGGACTAATGACCCGCCAACCCTGAGCCCCAAAACCCCCTCTGATCCCTGAGCACGAAACTGAGCCCAGTTCCCAGCGCCCAACACAGCTGTCACAGCACCCCCACTGACCCTCCTTACCCGGCCATACCCAGCCCATGCACTTCAGGGTTAGCCATCTGCGCGATGCGACGCGTCGGGACCCGACGATTCCCTGCTTTAAATAGTTGGGGACCAAGTTAGTCTGTGAAGGTGAGAGGGACATGCAGTGCCCAAATCACTCTCACATCACTTCTGCCAGAGCCCAGATATCATTCTCTGATTGCTCCGAGCCACTCCCCCAGTCACTTTTTCCAGAGCTCGGTTTCTGCGGGGCAGACGGACCACTCGAGACCACTTGTCAAGGGCCCGAGCCACTCACTTTTGCCACCCCAGTTTAATGTGTCATGTAACCCGACACAACGTAATAAAAGAATGTGCACATTGTATTGGGCACACTTCCCAAACCCTTGGGGTACAAGAATGGGTGGGGCAGGTGGAGGTTCCGGATCGGCCCAGCCTTGTCAAACATGCGGAAAGTCTCGATCAACTCCTGAGAGGGTTACCAGGGCTTAGAAGGGTTCAGGGTGTGTAGGGGAACAACACCTGAGAGGGCTTAGGGCTCACTAGGGGGAAGAGATTCAGCTCAAGCTGTTTTTGTCGGGTGGGGAAGGGGGGAGGGGGTTGTTGTTCCGTGTTTTAGGAGTCGGCGGTCGACCGGAATCATAATGAAAACCCTGCCTGAAGAACCCACAAACCTACTTTCGGTGCAGGTGGCCTATGAATCCTATCAAGGGGTTTTATCATGAGAGCCTACCCCAAAAAACGACTTCTGGTGATGTCCGACTTGTTCGTGCTTAATTAGGGTTTGCGGGTTTGAGGGCTTTGGGGGGGGTAGGGGGTTTTAGGGCTTAGGCGTTTGAGGATTGCAGGGTTCAAGGGTCCCAGGGTTCAAATGTTTCAGGATGTAGGCGGTGTAGGGTTTGAGGGCTTATGCGGTTTGAGGGTTCAAGGTTTTAAGGGCTAGGGTTTAAAACGGTCGATGGTTCATTTTGCCACTCCTCTAGCATTGCTCCACAGGCAACTGCCGAGGAGAAAGGAAATACATACAGAGTCTCTGCCCAAGCTCAGTAGCTCAAGGGTTTAGGGGGTCAAGGTGCGGGTTCAGGCGTAGGGGTTACGGGTTTGTGGGGCGTAGGGCGCACGGATATGTTGGATAGCTGTGGTTGTCGCTTTTTGCAAAGCTGATGGCGCATGATCCTCATAAGTCGTGGACAGTTCCACTGCCAGTATGGGTGGCATGCCTCTGGAGGACACTACTGAATTGCGCGAACCCCCCTGAACCCTCAAGTGTCTAAAGTCTTACGAAGCCCTGGACCCGAAGCCTTTCAAAGCCCCCTAAAGCCAAAGCCCTACGTCGACGTTCGTGGGGAAGTAGGGCTATAAGCACCCTAAGTAAGGTTATAGCGATAGCTACCATACGTGAAACCCTACATATAAATACCCATAAACCTCCAGGTAAGGACCCCTAAAGTCTTATCAAGCCAACCAGGGCTTGCTACTCGGCGCTTAGGGCTCTTAGGGGTTAACGTTTAGGGTTTAGGGCTTAGATGGCCAATGTCGTCTCTACCAAGGAAGCACTGTCAGAAGCCAAGTCGGAAGCAGACTCAACTCCACAACCCCTTGGGAAGTGGCGCTGACAACGACCCAACAAAGCCTAAACCAAACCCCGACCCCGCCCGCCCTGAAAGATCCCCCTAAAAGCCCCCTAAACCCTAAACCCTAAAGCCCTAAACCCTAAACCCTAAACCCCCCCCACCCCCCGCCCGCGCGAGATCCAGAGAGCCTGTCCTGGATGTCGTCCTCGTCATAGCCCATCTCCTCCAAGAGCTCCCTATCCTGATTCGAGGGGAGGGTACTCGAGGGACCCACCGGGAGGTTCTCTCGATTTGCGGCATCTAATGTCTTCAGCATACTTGTGAGGCTGTTTAGGCACAGGGATGTGACACTGAAGGTCACGCCCCAAGTACACGCAGGTTCGAGGCAAGCAGTCAGCTATGTGAGAGTGAGTGTGCCTCCCTTAGGGTGTTTATAGATATGTGGGGGGATGTGTTGGGATGTTCCCCTCTAACAGTCCTTCATCGCGATTCTAGTGCCCCCTATCATAATCCCAGTTCAGGACTGTTAGTATAAGGGGGAACATCCCAAGGAGTACGGCTTGCCCGAATTGCTCCAGCCGAGTGTCCAAATCTTCCTCCTCCTTCTGGAGCTCCTGCGCGGTTCACTGCAAGAGGAACGCCCTAACCCTAAACCCTAACCCGAAAACCTAAACCCTATAACCCTATAACCCTACAACCCAAAACCCAAGACCCTAAACCCGAAACCCCAAGCGCAGATGCTGCAGCAACCCCGCGCCCAACTTTCGGGGAAGATCCCGAAGCCACAAAGACCTCTCCCTGAACCCTATAACTCCAAACCCTGGTCAACCCTCAACCCTCAACCCTGAATCGTCTCCGCCCGGTACCCCGTCCTCCTTCTCTTGGCGCAGGCGTTCGCTCTCCTCTTCCTCGAGCTCCTGGCCGTGAGTTTCGGGCTTTGGTTTTTTGGGGTTTGGGGTTCAAGGAGCTTTGGGGCTTGGGCGTTGAAGAGGTGTTCCTTCTTGAATTCCGAGACTTTCGGGAATCAGTCCAGAACTTCCTCGAGCGGAGCGAGTTTCCCAGTTCTTCCCTTGTCGCCGTAGCAGCTCCCAAAGCATGAAGCCTCGAGCCACACAAAAGAGGAACCGAAATGCTGAACTGTTGCCAAACACCTCGCGCACTCACCTCAAACTACAGGGTCTGAGGGCTTCCGAGCCCATAATCCCAGATCATGAGTTGCACCAGTGGGTTTTGCTTCGGGCTTTAAGTTTGGGATTTCTGGTGTCCTTCTCCAGCTCTTCCATCTGGCGCGCATACTCCTCCTCCTCCCTCAGCGCGCGTCAGCACTAGGGTCTACTGTAGGGGGGTCTGAACCACAATGCCTAAATCTGCCCGTGAAGGCTTTGCGCATTTGGGATTTAGGGGGTGGTGGCGAAAGCAACTCGATTTTTGCCTCCTTGCATTTGTCCGGACAGGTCAGGGCGTCTCTCTGTAGGCGGGGCGATGGTTTCCATCTGGCCCACCCGTCAATCTGTACTGACGTGGATAGGCAGGCGAATCTAGGGTTTTCACGCTGCCAGTTTTGTGTTTTCAGTTGACAGAACAGGAAGGGATTAGGGTTTGCCAAGTTGGGATTGATGAAAGGTGCAACTGCTGCTCCCAATTACTTCTTGAAATTCGGCTTCAGGCTCTTGAGCCGCTCCACAGGGCTTCTGAAGTAGGTGGCCCCCCAAATTTCAGGATAGGACTTGATAGGACTTTAGGGCTTCGCCTTCTTGCACTTTCTCGCTTTGCGCATTATCGAGCAGGCCTAAACCCCAAACCCCTAAACCCGAACCCCTAAACCCGAACCCCTAACCCCTCAACCTGAACTTCCCAAACCCCAGTTCTGCTCTTGCCTATCTCACGACGCCGGCATCCCTGGCTGGCGCTGTCGGGCGGCCACGGCCCCACGTTGGGAGCCGCAGCGCGCGGTGGCACAGTGAACTAAACCCCAGGAGTTTGGGTTTAGGGTTTGGGGTTTAGGGTTTAGGGCTACGGCACCCAGGAGCAACCTAGGAATAAACAGGGTACCCTTTTTGGTTTAAAGGGGGTTCTAAGATAACCTACACTCTAAAAAAAGGGAGCAAGGGCCTACTCCCGGTCCCAGTGAAGCTTGCTTTGGACTGATCGACCCTGCTTGGAGGCTCATGGGCAGTGATACGTAGGGAAATAGGTGTTGTATCTGCAGTTTTCACCCTCTCTCGGCATACAACGCCATGCATAAGGACCCATGAACCTCCAAGTGAACCCCTGAAAGCTTTACAACCTTCTAAGAAGGGGCGTTGTAGCTTTTTTGCGGGCTTGGGCTGCCAGAACCCTAAACCCTAAGCCGCTTAAACGCCCAACAAAACCAAGCCGATTAACATAGGGCCTAAATAATTATAATTAGAACAGAGGTTTGGAGACATTACAGTATAGATATACTACGAGGGCATACTCTTCGTACTTCCTCCGACCCCTGGACTAAATAGGGAAGAAATACACTTAGTAATTATTCCGACCCCTATGTTAAATTAGCCTCTTGGAGCATCGAGGTTTCAATGCCCCAGAGGACAGGGCGGCGCCAAGCAGCGAGACGCAAAGCCAGGCAACCGCGGCCCGCTGGCTGGACCTCGCTGGTTGAGGAGGTTTAGGGGGTTTAGGGTTTAGGGTTTAGGGTTTAGGGTTTAGGGTTTATAGGGGTTTAGGGTTTAGGGTTTACAAGCATTTAGAGTTTGGGGTTTGGGGGAGTGGGGGGGGGGGATCCTTGAGGCTTGTTCTTGTGAGAGGGGTTTGGGTTTTGGGTTTACAAAGGAGGATGTGCTTGAGAACCCTCCGAGCTGATTCTATGCCGCCTTGTTTTTGTACGCCCAAATGCATTATTTCCTGAATCCTTTTCCGCCAAAGTTACGGTTTGGGGTTCTCTACAATTAGGGTCCATCTGGGATCCTTGAAACAAGAGCCATAATTAAAGGCCTTGCAATAAGCCTGAAGCATGCACTATCAAAGATACCGTCCTTCGATGTCAGCATGGGGCGATCCGCTTGGGTCGAGGGTTTAAGGGCCCTCCATCTGCGTATGGCTGCGTATCGTTACTTTGCTTGGGGCTTGTCGTGATTCAACCAGCCGCGGCGCGTGTACGCCCACACGGAGAGGACTGCTCCGCCATAGAAGCAGGCTGCAAAGGCCAGGAAGATCCTCGAAGGCTGTACAGTGGATTCATGTCCACATCATGTACATACATACATACATACATACATACGTACGTACGTACATACATACATACATACATACATACATACATACATATCTCGATCTCTACATGTATAACTATAGAACTAGATCTGCATCTAAAACTGTTACTGGTGTACTTCTACGCAAGTGACATATGACTCGGTGCCACCTTTTGATGCCAAACAACCTCGGAGGCAGCCGTCTCCAACTCTGCGTCCCGGAATTACTGTATCGTGGGCGCTCTTCTCGCAAGGGAATCAGAGAAGGCAGCAAAAGACCAACTTCTGAGCTTGATCTGACTTGTGTGCTCTCTGTTTCGAGCAGTGCCTGACCGGCTGGTTCCTCCGCGCATCCCTGAAGAAGACTGTGGCCGCTCAAGCCCTAACCCATTTCAGGTTGATCTGCTTGTGGCCTGTTCGTGGCCAGACAAGACTTGCTGCAACTTTCTGATGAGGGAAGCTTTCCCTGCACCCTTCGCAACTGGTGAACACCCTCCCCCCTACACCCTCCACCTAAAACAGATTTGCCAGTAAGCTCAATAAGGGAACATACATAACATTTCTGGTGCCTACTCTTGAGACGAGACGGGCTACTGAGATAGTAATCATGACCCGTGGACCGTCTCCGGATGAATGCACAACATGAGAAAAAAAACCACGCGGTCCAACCCTGGTGCGATTTGGGAAGGGTTTGGACGTTTTCTGTGCTTCACACCTAAGTACCCTAACACCTGAACCAAGAAGGAACTGCGCCCAAGCGTCAGCAGCGTCTGTACGTGATCAAGGAACCCCGGCCGGATCGGCTCAGCGAAACGGTCGCAAAGGAAGAGGAACCTTGTTTCGGGGTTTAGGGTTTAGGGCCTAGGGTTTAGGATTTAGGGTTCAGGGATGTTTAGGGTTTAGGGCCTAGCGTTTAGGAAAGCTGTCCCAGAATTCTCAACTCATTCCCTCGGCTCATGTTAACTTGGCTCGGTTCAAACGGACTGGCCTGGCTTGAGGTTTGTGCACATCGAGCTCACGAAAGGCAGATGGGTGGTGCTACCCCAGGAGGCGCTTCTTCGATGTTCCACCCCTTTGGGTCTGGGAGATGCTCTGTGGGGGGTACAACATCCCTGGGATGCTGCAGAGGCCCTCCTGATTAAACCCCTCCTCCTTCTTCAACCCCCTCCCCTCCCTGTCTCCCACTCATCGCTGTCCTGCATGACACTCTTAACCCTTCTGAACCTGGAAGCTGCTTCATGCCAGGACTGAGGCCCGCGCTTAGTCATCAGAGACTCTGAGACTAGCAGGCTCTTAACCCTAAACCCAAACTCTCTCTCTCTCTCTCAACCCCAAAACTTTTTTTTGCAGTTGGCTTCCGGGCTGGGATCTTTCGAGCTGCTAAGCCCAAAGCCCTGAACCGCAGGGTCCAAGCACTGCTTTAGGTATCCAAAGTCTGCTTCTTTGGTTGAGGACTTTTAGGCATTAGGGCTCATTCGATTTTCGGGTTAGGGTTTAGTGTTGAGAGTTTAGGGTTGCGGGGTTCGGTTTAGGATTTAGGGGGCTGTGTTGCTTGGTGACATGAGGAAAGATAGCCGGAAGGAGGATCCGGGAAGGCAAATAGCACCATGCAGGGCCAATGCGGCATGGAGGCAAGGAGAGGCTGTTGAAGACCCAGAAGACGTCGAAGCCCAAGGAGGAGCCCATCCTTTGCTGTGCTTGAAGCGGTTTAGGGTTTAGGGTTTAGGGTTTAGGGTTTAGGGTTTAGGGTTTAGGGTTTAGGGTTTAGGGTTTAGGGTTTAGGGTTTCGGGTTTTCCGATATGATGACTCCACAAGCTTCAGCCCATGATCCTTGAACCAAGTCCCCCCAGAAGAAGCCGCACACTAGCTACTTTCGACGACCTTGAAGGCCTCTTTTTTCGACAACAGATACAACAGTCACACGGCACTGCCTACACTCAGGCGGGCCTGAAAGGACGCCCCTTGAGACGCATATGGGGGGCTTATAAGATCTGAAAAGGGGATGCTACTCTTTGGGGTCTATATGGTCTACTATTTCGTAAATACCCATACGGACCACACTGGCGAGCACAGGCAAGCGTCACGTAGGAGACGAGGCAATGTGAAGGTGCGCCGCCTTGCCAAAAGCTGGCAAAGTAGGTCCTCGGTGAGCTGCCAGGTCTTGGTGAGCTGCCATATGCAAAAAGCATGTACTATAGGGTGGGGTCAGCAAAAGCACTAAGCATATTCCCTTATGGACTCTATAGAATTGTACTACAATCACCCCCAAACAAACCTATTCAAAGTAATAAAAGGCCCCTCTACGAAAAGGGTGAGGGGAGCAACAAGGTCTAAGGTGCTTTCTGGTAAAGGCGGTTTGTTGAACACTGTGGTATAGGGGTTTGGGATAAGCTGGCAGCCCGACCTCTGCTCCTCTAGGACCTCCATCCAAGAGAAAACCGCTTGACGGACCTTAAAGCCGAATTGGGAGAAACAATGGGCTTATTTGGGGTCCTTGCCGATTGCGGTTTAGGCTTTAGCATGCAGTTGTGGGCGTCAGCACGCCCCCCTCCCCCCCCTAATCGCAGCAGGACCTCGGGGGGGTTTACGAAACTAAGGGACCCCTGATATAGACCCATTATAAGGACCCCAATACGGTACCCCTAATTTCGGAAGCCCCCAAATCTGCACTGCAGCAGGGTAGCAAACTGTTGGCCACAGCTGGCGAGAGGAGGAGCCTAGCGCGCTGGGGATTTGAAGTTTAGGTCCCGCGGCTTAAGGGCATCTTTGAGTCACCCATGCCTACTCTAGAGCATGCACCATAAGCTGCAGGAATAGTCATAGGAATCTGTGCCTAGCGGCGCATCCCGGTTTAGGGTTTAGTAAGTGGCATTGACGCTGTTGAGAGCTGCAGGCCGGCTACAGCAGCTACAAGCGGACGAACATCCTAAGCCCTAAGTCGGGCCCGCTTGCGCTGTTCGAAACTGAACGGTGGCCTCGGGAGGTAAGCCTTTTTGCCACCCGCCTAGCTCACAGAGCTAGGGTTTCGGGGGTTCATGAAGGGCTTCAAAGAACCCTAAACTGCAGCCGGCAATCCCCGGTGGCCCTTCAAGCCCAGGTGCAGTGGATAGGCGACCAAAGGGCTGGAGGCCAAAGCACTGAGAAGCTCCTGGGTGCAACTTTCTCTTCCCAGCGCCAGGGACTGCACCCGCCCCCCCCTCCCGCCCCCCCGACCACCCTCTCAAGTCCTGAGGCCCAACGACTGGTCGAACCCCTGAACCCGTTTACACCCCAAGACCGCAAGTCTTAATCAGCAAACCATACAATGCCATACAGAAGACCTCCGCCCTGCAGCAGGACCATGTTGCCCAACGTTGCTGCCGTTAGTGATGCTTAGGGTTTCTGGAGCTCTTCCACATACGCTGGGAAGGTTTGCCTCACGTTTCAGGCCGTCCTCCCGCAGCGGGCCGCGAACGAATGCCGTGAAGGCCTCTTCCCCGCCATACCACTTGACCTTTGGAGCTTGGGGTCTTCCCTCCCTCCCTCGCCCTCCCTCGCCCTCCCTCGCCCTCCCTCTCCCTCCCTCTCCCTCCCTCTCCCTCCCTCTCCCTCCCTCTCCCTACCTCTCCCTCCCTCTTCCCTCCCTCTCCCTCTCTCTTCTTCTTTTTCTACCCAGCGCAGAGGCCCCCTAAGGGACTACGGCCCCGACGGCCCGCTGCTCAGGCCCCTCTCTCCCTCTCTCTCCCTCTCTCTCCCTCTCTCTCCCTCTCTCTCCTTCTCTCTCCCTCTCTCTCCCTCTCTCTCTGTCTCTCTCTGTCTCTGTCTCTCTCTCTCTCTCTCTCAAACTGACAGCCCTCCAAGCTATGTAACACCTTTTTTAACGCTCTTGAAGACAACTCCCCCCCCCTGCCCTGCAGAAAGCCACCCGAATAAACAGCAAAGGTCCACAGAAGTGATCCAAAGAAACTCTCTGGGGAAAGACCCATCTTGCGGATTGGAATTCCGGGTCTAGGGTTCAGTGCAGGTTGCAATGGCAGTGTGGATGAAGTCCTTGTCGAACTCGCTGCTGCACTGTACTTGCGCGAGGTCAAAATGTTCCTGGGGGGCTGGATGCCTTCAAGTACCTACATCGATTCACAAACCAACAACGCTGAACTCTCAGAAGCCACGCATCCGTCATCCAACCCTGAACCAAAAAGATCAGGCACCGCATGCCACACATGCCTATGACTAACAATCCCCAATCACGAACAGGCGGGGCTGGAACCCTCCAGTTCGAAGGTCCAAGGGTCAAGGTCCGCAAAAAGTTTGTGCTTGGCCATGTGGCTCCTCCGAACCATGTGCATTGCAAAGCAGCATGGAAGCATGGCAACCAGGTACGCCACATAGTTGTAGACCTCGTCGACCTGCGACACCCGAGTGCTCCAGTAGATCACAGCGAAGAAGTATTCCCACAAGATCATCACACCTTAGGTGCTGAGTTCCCTAGGGGGAAAAAAACTCCCTTTCGGTTTCAGAAGGGGATGCATAGCAATCACTCAAAAGGGTGAAAGGTTACCCGGCTACCCACCCAGCTAAGACACAGACGACGGTCTCCACAAACAGCGGAGCCAGGGTGATCTTGCCGCCGGGGTTGGCGATGCGGAAGGCCGCGAGCTCGAAGACGCACCAGAGTCTCCTCGGCGGAGAGCTTGACGAAGAAGTAAATATGTGTGTGTCTGTGTGTGTGTGTGTTTAGGGTTTAGGGTTTAGGGTTTAGGGTTTAGGGTTTAGGGTTTAGGGTTTAGGGTTTAGGGTTTAGGGTTTAGGGTTTAGGGTTTAGGGTTTAGGGTTTAGGGTTTAGGCTTTAGGATTTAGGGTTTAGGGTTTCGGGTTTAGGGTGTGGCTGTAGGGCGCCTCCTCCAGTTGTCTACCTACCTTTATGTTTTGGGGGGGGGGCGGGAGGGGGAGGAGGTGCGCTCGCAGGAACCAAAATCACCCAACATCCGGGATTGAAGTTCATTCCTGAGGATTGAGCTTCAATCCCAGGCCCGGGATCCAAGTTTCAAGATTCCGGGCCTGGGGATCGAAGTTTGTGTGTCTGGCGCGCCTGCGCCCTGCCACTCATCGCGGGTAACACCAAACTGCGACTAAATCGAAGGCCAAACGTCTACAGAAACAACGGAAGCTCAATCTTTGTTTGTTTTTCTCCAGCCAAGAAGAAGACAGGGTGTTCTAGATACAGCAGGCTCTGCATGGTGCATCCTGTGTTTTGAACATGCGGACCTTGTCTAAGCTGGCCTGAAGCGGCCTGAACCGACAAGGACCTGACTGGACCTGCGCTTGCACTCTGAGTCTTACGCCTCAAGGCACTATGCGTTTGAGAAATCCTCCGCGAACTTTTATCAGGCACTTCCGAAAAATCCACTGGGATGGTGCGCTGTGTTGCGGCATAGCCTCCCTAAGCTTGCTCTGCAGGATTCTGCTGGCCAACCGACAGCTTCTGGCAAAGACCGGCTCCTACTTCAACCCAACCCTCTGGACTCACTGCTGCCAGGCTCAGGGAAGCCTGAACCCGATGCAGTTTTAAAGTCTCAAGCGCAACCCGAAATAACACTCGACCCCCGGCCAGGGCTCGAGAAGTAGGGCATCGACCATAACACACGCAGCTCGCGAGAGATGCGAAGAAAGCCGCCAATGCCGTATATGCCTCTTTCCATCATCTGCTGATCCTTGCGGAGTCATGGCTTGAAACCAAAAAAATCGAACCACGCCCCTTGTTGCGCTAAACTCTTATAGCCCGAGAGCCTTATAAGGATTCACGAAAAGCTCATGAGTCGCGTGGTCGGTGTAAATTAGGTAAAGGGAACTAGCGACTCGAGAGGCGTTTGGGCCTTGGTTTCTGGGGTTCAGATTTGGTGCGGGATCTGACGACGACGCAGCTGGGGACGGGTTTAGGGTTTACGGTCTAGGGTTTAGGGTTTAGGGTTTAGGGTTTAGACTGCAGAAGTCTTGCCCAAAAGCTGGCCGGGCATCCGTCTGATGAATGCTGGCCACATCGAGAAAGCAGATGTCATGTTGGCGACGTGCATTCGGGACGTAGGGTGAGACCAGCAGCCCAAATACGGTTGCTACAAAACTGGCCAGGTCGATCCATGGACCGACGGGACATATGGCTTTGAATTCCATTGCATGAACCTCAACCAGCCAAGGAGAAGGAAGACGGCCAAGAATTGTCAGCGAAGTGGCTGCAATCACTGCGGTGGACCAGATGAGAAGGACTTTGTGCGAGCCAGAGTGCAACAGCAGTGACAGTAGCTTCCACTTTCCTGGCGTCATCCAAGTGTGGGAAAGGAACAAGTCGAATTGCTGTACAGGACGCGACCTATTCCAAAGCTCCGCACGAGATTTCTTGTCCAAATTGACCGGGCAAGTCAGCCACAGGCGGCCACCCTGCAACAAGGACTCTCGCAAAGACAGGCCGCGTGCAATTTCCATATCCACCTCGAGATGTCCGGCCATCGCCAGTCGCTGGAACTTGTCTGGAACCACCCGGCTCAAAGGCCCGCACCCAGATTCAATGGCAGCACAGCCCTCCGCAAACGAGGGCTCAGAGGCCGTGCTGGGCTTGTCGGGCACCGCTTTCTGAGCAGCGCGGCATGCTTTGCTGCTCTGGCTGTGTCCCATGGCGCATGGCTACTTCGGGGCTCAGGCATGTGCCAGCACGTGCCAAGTGATAGTGGAAGAGCGCATCAACTTGCGAGGAATCACGGAACAAGAGTCGAAGAGACCTACACCGGCTGCAGCGCTTCTTTCTGCACGGTTGACTTGCAAGAAGTCGCTGGACTCTATAATTACAGGGTCGGCCATAGCCCGTAGCCCTACATGTGGAGTGCCATGGCAGGATCTTAGCCCACCCGTCAAGCCCCCAGCTATACGGAGTCGTCTTTTTGTCATGGCTGCGCATTTGGCAGCCTTTGTGCAGGCTTCACCTGCACCAGTTCTTGCCAGGGTCCCTCAATTCCAGCTCAAGGTTCACGGGAGACCTACGAAGCCCCTGAACAGTCCTTCTAACCAAACCGAAGCAGCAGACTTCTGGGGGACCTAGGCCCAGAGGTCTTCATGTCATGCATTGTCGCTTCAGCTGTAGCAGGAGTCAAAGCGGCTACGCTCTGTACAGAGCTGTTGAAACATGCCGCACGCAAGCAGCTGTCTTGCCCAGTCTATACATGGCACAGATGTCAGCTGGACGCTTTGCAGCACCTCCTATACCAGACTGTCCACCCTGAAGCTCTGAAATCCTGAGCCAGAAAACTTTCTCCGAATCCTCCCCATGCTAAGCCTGAAAACCCTCTAAGGCCCCCCCCAAAATCCAACCCTCCAAACCCTTCCACCCTAGGACGAAAAGGACAAAACAAAAAAAAAAACCTAAGACGCCGAACCCTGGGATCCTGGGATGCTCCCCAAAGATCCCCTCTGTTGCTTCTTTGGGGTTTCGGGTGTAGGCCTAAACCCTAAACCCTAAACCCTAAACCCTATACCCTATACCCTAAACCCTAAACCCTAAACCCTAAACCCACAGGCCCTCCCCTCTCACAGGCGCCAGCTCATCCTCGTCAACATCGAGGAGCCGCAGTTGCAGAGAAGGCCGAAGCCCAGGAAGGCGACCGAGGATCCGAGGCTCGTCCTTGCTTCTGACAGGGTTTAGGGTTTAGGGTTTAGGGTTTAGGGTTTAGGGTTTAGGGTTTAGGGTTTAGGGTTTAGGGTTTTTCTTTGCCACCCGACTAGCCACGGCAATGCGGGGTACAAGGTCGGAACTAAAAAGGAAGAACTGTCAGCCCCGAGCAGCGTGGCGGCTACAGGGGTTTCGGGTTTAGGGTTTTTGGTTTTTGGTTTTTGGTTTTGGGGGGTTCGTGGGGGGTAGCGAAACATAGGGATCAGGTATGGTAACTGTAGTTTCGGCCTTCTTCAGGTTTCCCATGAACCACCACGTGCTCTTTCCCGCCCCGCGTAGCTGAACTCGTGTCCAAGTGGGGTTTCGGGTTCAGAGGGGGAAGAAAGGAAGGGGGGCTCTCAAAATGAGGCTGTGCCTTAGAAAGTTTAGAGCTTCTGTCTCAAAGTTTAGGGCTTTCTTTGCCACCCGCCTAGCCACTGTTTTATTGGCGAAAGATAGGTAAACGCTGGGCCAGCCTGATGCCGAAGTGACAGGTGGACTAGGCACGCAAAACGGGCCAAACGTTGTCACAAGCCAAAGCCAAAAACAGAAACAGTGTTTAGGGCTCTAGGGTTTCGAGCGCTTGCAGACAGAAGGCGAGAACCGGGGTTTTTGAATCACTTCGGATGTTAGCATCAGTAGGCTACTGTATTAGCATATCCCAGATGGGCCTCCTGCATTCTGACATGACGAAGGATCTTGACGGTGCTTTGGGTTCTATGGCATAGACTCATATGCAGGGCCCCTGCCTGCTTCGGGAAACACCCACCAGTCAAGCATTTGCTGTGGAGCCCTGCCAATTCTATGCACATGGGACAAAGGTGTCTAGCATAGTCCGGTTGTACTTTTGACCGCTGGGAACCAACGGAGGATGTCCTGTGCCACCATGAAGGCATGTGTAGTGGATGCGACGCGACATCATGAAAACATGTACTTGGGCCTCGGGATGGGAAATCAAAAAGCCGAAGTGCCCTCACTGGCAGGGTTGAATGTTGGGCTTAACTCAGGCTGAAGCCCATGACTCGCCCTTCGTCTCTGTTCTGAGCAGAGGGGCGAGTGCGCAGTGGCAGAAAGGGCCACCCCCAAGAAGACAACGGCCGCGAACACCACAAAGAGCAGGAACCTACACAGGCGGGGTCAGCGGGGTCATTTTTCGGTATTTGGAGGGTTCAGGTTTTCGATGGTTTGGGGTGTTGGGGCAATCTTCATGGTGGTTTAGGCTTAGGCGCCTTCGGTTTTCTCACTCACTTGTCGTGAGCGAGAGCGAATGAAAGCAAACAGAGAGAGAGAGTGAGAGAGAAAGAGAGAGTGAGTGAGTGGGTGCGTGTGAGTGAATGGGTGAGTGGGTGTGTGAGTGAGTGTGTGAGCGTGAGTGTGTGAGCGTGTGTGTGTGTGTGTGTGTGTGTACATGCGCGTTTTTTCCAAGAAGGCGGGAAAAGCCTAAACCCGAATCACCCTGAACATGCTCCACTCCAATTGACTTTACCCTTTCAGCCACCAAAACAAACGCCCTAAACCCCGTTTGCATCTGGCTTGCTCCCTAAACCCTAACCCCAAACTCTATAATCTATAAACCACAAAACCCCCACAGGCCCAAAATCGACGGGCGGCGTCTGCCCGTAGTCTCGGATGTCATGCCACCGGCGCTTTGCGAAGCGGTCGCAGAGGTAAAGGCACCTTTGGGGGTGTTGGGCCAATGGGGCCATTGGGGCTTACAGGGCATAATCTACATGTATATATACACTCTATATATATATATATATGTATATGTATATGTATATATGTATACATATACTTATTTATTTATTTATTTGTTTATTTGTTTATTTACATACATACATCCCCGTAGTTCATGGCGGGTTGAGGGTTTAGGGTCAGGCTGTAAGCTTTTTGGCAATTCCGCCAGGGTTTTCCCTCTCCCCCTGTAGTTCGTGATGGGTTTTCTGTCTAGAGTTTAGGGCTTAGGGTTGAGGCGGGGGGACCCTTAAACACTTGGTTGGGAGTTCTTGAGAGCTTCTCTGCACTTTTTCCCCCTTGGAAACCGCCAACAGTCCCTCAACCCTCGGACCCAAAATCTCGATCCGGGCCGAGTCGCAATTTCATGCACAACCGCGCCCAAACGAGGGCAAGGCCCAGCAGGCAGCTGATCCTTTGCTCCACTTCGGGGATCAGGATTAAGGGTTTAGGGTTTAGTGTTTAGGGTTTAGGGTTTAGGGTTAAGGGTTTAGGGTTTAGTGCTTAGGGTTTAGGGTCTGCAGGCTAAGGTCTTGGGTAGCGTGGGGACCTGGAGGTCGCCGTAGAGTCACCATGGGCCCATGCCCCCCTCAAACTGCAGCTACGTGACACGATGACAACCCACAAAGTCTGCTTCCCACAGGCTGAAGTAGAGCCCCCTTGTTGTGGCTTCTACAGCTTCCACAGCGTCAGAAAGGCTCTGGTCCATAAAAAGCCCCATTCTCCAACTCAAACTGCACAAAAAGGCTCTTCCTCAAGCGATGGGGCGCAGGGGGGGTGGGTCACCACGGAAAAGGACCTCTCGCTTACCATTCTGGGGCCCCTTGCTGTCCTTCCTTTGGTACCATACACTGAGAGAAGGTCGCATCGGCGCTTCTGAATGTATTGAGGGCAGCGTTGCGTAGCTCAATCGAGAGATGCGGCACAAACCATCATCCCGACCTGCAGCCCTAAGCTAACAGCATTGTTTGGGATGTGCCCCCTTATACTAACAGTCCTTGAATAAGAATTATAATAGGGGGGTACTATAATCCCTTTTAAAGACCATCCCAAACTATAGTAGAAAGAATGAAGTCGAAGCCCTAAGCGAGTCGTGTCTTGATGCTGTGCAAGCAGCACCTGCGAAGCGAGGACCTGGGGAGGCGCTCCAGCCACATAAGCCCCGCAGACACTCGTCCTGCATTGAAGGGGGGCTGGAGCTGATTTCTGGCGGCCCTTTGGGCTTTCTTTGCAGGTTGTTTAAGGTCACCCAAAAGGCTGGAGGCCCCTCAAAGCACCAACCTTTTGAACCAGGATCCCTTTCGTACAAGAGCACAAACCCCCTTGAGCTGCGAACCCTGAACGTGGAGATCCTGTCGTTGGAGTCTAACTGCTCAACTCATATCCGACATCAGAGATGCCGCGGCTTTGGGGGACTAGGCTCCCGAGCCTAAGACCTCGATCGGCCCTTAGGTAGCCAAGGTACAACCCAGAAGCAGCCAGAGGCGTCAGCAGAAGGAGCTCATAGTCCAGAAAGGTGCAGCAGCGCGCCTTCGTCCGCAGCTCCTTTCAGGACGGGTCCCAAGGAGGTGAACTTGGAGGTTGATTTTATCAGTATGGCAGCTATAAGTATGAGCTTGTTTCGGGTGCTTCCAACCCTACTTTCAATAAGCACCCATGAACCTCCACATGAACCGTCAGGCAGGAACCCTGGGGCGTGGGCTTGGGGCTTCCAACCTCTGGAGCTTCACAGTCCAAGGAGGTTTGATATTCCTGGAGCCCGGAATAAAAAGGGCTCCTTCTTTTCTTGGCTTAAATGGGTTTATCAGGGCATCGCTCTCTCTCTCTCTCTCTCTCTCTCTCTCTCGGAGGGCCTAGCAGCGCCAGGCAACGCATGAGGCTTAGCCCTGGAGGCCTAGGGCATCCCACCCTGAAAGAACACGGGGGTGAGGGCCCCTCTGGGTCCTTATGCAGGTTTGGGTCTCGCGGCCCTCCGCCCTTCTTGGTTGCCCCGGTGAAGGCATGAATCCCGTGCTACACAGGCCTGTTGGTCTTGAGCAAGGACTCTGCTGTAGTTGATGTCATAAACGGGTACCCGAGCTTTTGTGCGAAACACAGAAACATCAGCGCACGAGCATTTCCTAGTACAGGCTGACAAACCCTGAGCCCTAACCTGTGGCAGGGAATGGGCTGGCGCCTCGCGCAGCGGGCCCCGCACGAAGTCGGTAAACGCCTCCTCGCTGCCGTACCACTGGGCGATTGCCGTCCGGATAAATGTCTTGTCGAAGTCGCTGCTGCACTTTGCCTTGCTGATGTCGAAGCTTTCCTGGGGCTGTGGACAGATTCTGAGTGGATTCTCGACAGCCCTGTTTCAGAAACTACCTGTGCTTGATGTCACAAACTGCAGCCAGCCGGGAGTCGATAGAGAAGCCCAAACCACAACAACGCAAGCGCAAAGCAGTAAAGCTAAGAATAGCCACAGGTGCCAGCTCGGAGAAGAGCGTGTGCTTGAGCACGTGGGCTTTGCGCAGCACATGCATCACGAAGTAGCTTGGTACGACGGCCAGCCCATGCGAGACGAGCCTGTACTTACCCTCCTCCCGCCATGTCCTGCACATCCACCAAACGCCGCAGTAGACGTACTGCATGAGCAGGATGAGGCACACAATCAATTCCACGAAGAGCGGAGTTAGAGTAATCTTGCCAGTGGGGTTTGCTGTGCGATATGCTGCTAATTCAAAGACGCACCACAATCCTCGGCTGTTGCTGTCAACATGGAAGCACAAGTTCCCGCACCTGCTTGGACTACCAAAAGAAAGTAAGCTGACCGTACAAACTCAAGCCGTGTCCAAGATTCTTGACAAGTAGGGTGCAGACCACAGGACCCGCAACTCGGATGAGATGCTGAGAAATCCTCCTATGCCGTAGATGCCCCTCTCCATAAGCTGCGCATCTGCTTGGTGGATGCTGGCCAGGTCCAAAAAGCACATATCTCTTTGACGGCTTGGGCGTGGGAAATAGGGCGACGCAAACAACCCCAACGTGGTTGCCACAAAGCTCGCCAGCAGAATCCATGGACCAACAGGCATCGGGCGATCAAAGCCGAATGAAAAACTGGAGATCACCCAGGGCAGGGGGACAAGATCAAGGATGCTGAGAGCAGCTGCAAGACTCACCCCCACCAACCAGAAGAAGAGCGTTTTGTGCGAGCCAGACTGCAGCAGCAGCGAGAGGAGCTTCCACTTTCCTGGCGTCATCCAGGTGTGGGACAGGAAGAGGTCGAAATGCTTTACAGGATGCGACCTATTCCAAAGCTCCTCGCGAGCTTTCTTGTCCAAGTCGGCCGGACAGGTCAACCACAAGCGCCCACCCGTCCGCAAGGACTTTTGCAAGGACAGGCCTCGCGCGATGTCCGCATCCACCTCCAGATGCCCTAGCGTCGACAAGCGCTGGAACTTGTTTGGAACGGCAGGCTGCGCCGGCTCAGTGGCCTCCCCGCACTCCAGCGCACCACACACATCGGTAATTGGTGGGGTGGGCTGCCTGATAACGCTGCCTCCCTGTCCCATCCGCACGTCTGCAACCCAAATGAGCACAAAATAGCTGCGCACCGCCCAGGTGACTGAACTACAGGAAGCATCCCTGGCTAGCGTGGAGCATAACCTAGCTGAGTGCCGAATCAGGAACTTCTCTCCCCAAACACCTTTCTGAAACCTTCCCATCTGAAGTACCTGCAAACCCTACACCTTGAAAGACTAAATAAATAAATAATTAATTAATTGATTAATTAATTAATTAATCAATACATTGAGTTCACACGATGTCTCTCTCTCTCTCCTCATTGCATGCCGCGACTGCGGCCGAAAGCCATGCGAAGCCCTCTCAAACGACTATGACGAGTATGTAACAACCCTAGTCTCCGAAAGTAGGGGTACCTTATTGGGGCCCGTGTTCTAAGGGAATCCTACTCTTTGGGAGTCTACATTCGGGGGCCCTTCTGTTCGCAAACCCCCATATGGACCAACCAGAGGCTGCGGCAGCTGCTGCGCTTCCAGGGCCTGGGCTATGACAGGTTGCTAAAGAACTGGACCCAGAATTGAATCCCCTCTTCGGGCATTCTTCTGCATAGCTGTTTTTTTATATTGACCAAAACAGTAGGCGGCAGGTATCCTTCTACTGGAACTAGTAGAGGCTCATGTCTCTGCGTGTGTGTGCGTGCGCACGCAATCACATAAAAGTTGCCGGGGAAAGCAACCTTCTTTGCAATACGTGCCTGTACGGACTGCGAGAGCTCTGCGGGAAGGTGTGTAGCACCTTTTCGCTCACCCGCACTGCACGCAGGTGCCTGTTGTTGAAGCTGTCATAACCTCTTTGCAGCAGAGGCAAGCCTCCTGTGCCTATTATGCCTTATGCCTTTTGCAAACGTGGCTGCAGATTGCAGCCTCGGTCCTCTAAATGCAGCAAAAAACGCAAATCTATCAACCCAGAGACAAGAGTTCTTCTTAGTAGGAAATTTCAGGTACCCTATGTACCTCAGTTCTTTTTAAAGACGTCCTGCAGTTCCCTGAACTCGAACCCCCAATTAAAGTAGACTCTTTACACAGACCCGACCTCTCTACACTTACCAAGACCTTTATATGCACCCGAACAAAGCCCAAACAAACTGAACAAAAGGAGTGACACCCCCTGAACCCTAAACCCTAAACCTAAACCCTAAAACCTAAACCCGAAACCCGAAACCCGAAACCCTATCCGGGACCCTGCGGCCTTCTTCCGCTCCGCAGCCTTGGCTTCCGCCTCCGCAGCGGCGGCCTCGGCTTTCTTCTTGGCCTCCTGGCGAAGGGTTTAGGGTTTAGAGTTTAGGGTTTAGGGTTTAGGGTCTAGGGTTTGGGATGTTCCCCCTTCTACAAACTTCGGGTTTGGGGTTTAGGGTTTAGGGTTTAGTTTTTGCCACCCGCTTGGCTGACCTCTGAAGGGAAGTAACTATGGCAAGTGTCTCATGTGACTGACAGGTTTAAGGGTCTCGGGTTTAGGCTTCCCCCTTGTGCCAACAGTCCTGAAAAAGGATTACTAAGGACTGTTTGTATGAGGGAGGGAGAATATCCCTGACTGTAGGGATGAATTAACCCACCAACTCCCGTTTCGACGAACAAGGCTGATGGAACCACAAAAGAGAAAGAAACAACAAAGACCAAAGAAGAGGGGCAGCGACAAACAGTGAAACGTTTTGAAAAAAATTGGGCTCCCTTTTTGCCCCTACACATTCAAGACCCCACCCGTTTAACGGACCCTAAACCCTTAACCCTAAACCCTAAACCCTAAACCCCTCAACCCCTCAACCCCTAAACCCCTAAATCCTAAAGCACGGCCTCCTCGGCCTGCTTCCTCTTCTCCTCTGCTTCAGCCTCGACCCGCGTGGGTGGCTTCAGGGGCTTGAGCTGCCGGGGATAGGATCAGGGGGGACCCTGGGGATATAGACCCTCTGGGTCGAGCCGTACCATCTTGCTGCACTTCACTTGAGGTTTACGGTTCATGAAGAACAAGCACTGAGCAAGTGCTGCTGGGCTCGTTCAGGGTGTTAACTGCTAAAGGTTTGGGCTCAGCCCCTGAACTCAGAAAAGGCTTGGGGGGGATCTGAACCCTCAACCCAAAAATTGTCTCTCTTCACCCGAAGCCCCGCTACCCCCTCGCCTCCAACTGCTCTGCGCGCTTCCGCCGTTCCTTGCGGCGGTGTGCCATAAGATGGGGTTCTGGGCTTCTGGGTTAGATCCCGGAACGCAGCGCCGGCCTTAGGCAACCGCGACTTCAAGGCCCTCTCAAGGGTTCGGGTAAGTCTGACGCCTCAAGCTCCACCCACACAAAACCTTTTCAAGTCGGGATCAGGGCTCTATGAGTCATAGGGCGGTATGAGTCATAGGGGCTGAGGGGGGATTCAGGGCCACAACCTTGAGGTTCTGAAATGACTACTATGTACCTGGTCCCTATTTCAGGCTTCCGGCTGAGGGGTGAAAGGGCACGTGGCCTTGTCATGAACCCTTTTGAGTCTGCGCTCGGAACCCCAGACCCTCTAATGAACCCAAATAAACCCAACCCTAAACCCTAGAACCCTAAACTCCACCCGGTCCTCACGCGCTGCAAGCTCCGCGGCATCCGCCTCCACCTTGGTCCCGTCGGCCAGGACCTGGGTGGAAGGCCCGAGGGCTGCGGGGGCTCGGACAGCTTGGGTTTAGGGTTTAAGGGGATTCTTTTCCTCAAGGGATTAAGACTCGTACCCCTAAGGTTGCACCCCCTCGAGGTTCCCCTTAAAGTACTCCGAATATGGCCCTTATGCTACCTTAGGAATCTGAAAAGAGCATCCCCAAACCCAAGGGGGTACCACCTTAAGTGTTCAAGGTGGAATCCCATGATTTCCGCCAGCTACCTAAACCCTAATCCCCCTAACCCCTTTGTTGCACCTTATACCCCTTAATAACCTAACCGACACCCCGAAGAAGGATCCGGCGCGCCTTGGAGCCGTCGGCGGCAATCACCTCGGAACGGCTTGGGAGGAACAGGGCCTTCCCACGTCTCGCCCCAAGGTCTAGGGTTTAGGGTTTAGGGTTTAGGGTTTAGGGTTTAGGGTTTAGGGTTTAGGGTTTAGGGTTTAGGGAAGCACTGGTTTTGAGCCCCCGAAAGCTGGCGCAAACTCGCAGGGCCCCCTCCAATAGGAGATGTACTGCCCGCGGACATTGAATTTTGAAAGTCTCAGGTCGCGCCAACTTGGGAGCCGCGATACGAGTGTTTAGTGTTCAGGGGGATCCTAGGGTGTTTTTTTCGGGCCGGTCCGGTCGGAGCGTTGGCTCCACTCCTCGCCTTAAACGACCCCTAAAGACTACCGTCGGTCTTAAGTGGACACCTTCAACATGGCGACTATCCCTGTACACGCCGTGCTACAAGTACTGTAAAAGGCTCCGGGACCCCTTTATCTGCATATATATATATATATATATGGCATGTCCTTGCATGTCCCAAAAAACTGTCTTCCTTAATAAAGGAACCCCAAAAAAGTGTGCTCCTATTCTCGGAAAGGAAACCCCACATGCAACGGAGGCCCCCCAATTTAAAAGCACCGGAGGCCCTGGCGGTCCCATCCTCCATCTTGCGCGCCGCATCGGAAGTGCGCACGGCCTGGCACGTCAGGGTCGTTACGGCTTCGGGTGTTCAGGGCCTTTCTTTGCCACCCGCCAAGCAGACGAGCCACACTGCTCTGAGGGGTTTGGGTTTCAGGGGTGCTGGAGAACTTAGGGCTTGTACCCCGAAACCCTAAACCCTAAACCCTCAAACCAAACTTGGGGCTTCGGATTTTGTATTTGGGCCTTTGGAACATTCCAGCGCTCCCCACCTTCTTGACACGACACTTGCGGCCGGCAGGCGTGGGCCGGGGCCTGGATCCCAAGGTTTGGGGTTTTAGGGCTTTGGGCTTAGGGTTTAGGGTTTAGGGCTTGGGGTCAAGGGTTTAGGGTTTAGGGTTAAGGGTTAAGGGTTAAGGGTTAAGGGTTTAGGGTTTAGGGTATTTTTTTGCGGTTTGGGGTTTAGGGTTTAGGGTTTAGGGTTTAGGGTTTAGGGTCGGCGCGCAACAACTTTTCTATACTCGAGGCTTCGAGCAGACGTTGGGGAAGCCTCGGATACAAGGGTTTCACGCCAAATTGTCACCGTGATCATGTTACCCCCCCCCCCCCCCGGCCCTCACCTTGCACAACATGGAACCCCGTCCAATCCTATATCTTGCCTTGCACACCTGCCTGGCTGAGGGAAGGTTTTTTTTTTGTGGGGGGGGGGGGGGTTACCTTCTTGGGGTCCTTATATGCCCTAAACCCTTTTGGCATCAGGACTTGTGCAATCGCCTGAAAGTGTGACCAGACGGATACTCAGTGCTGGTGACTGAAACCCTAAACCCTAAACCCCTTGCAGTTTTGGGGGATCCAAATTGGGGGGCCATCGCCTGGCCCTTTTGGGCGCTTCCATGGTGAGCTCGCCACCTCGGTTTAGGGTTTAGGGCTTCGGGTTTAGGGCTTAGGGTTTGGGGTTTAGGGCTTAAGGCTTAGGGTTTGGGGGCCTTCGGGTACTCAAAAACCTCCCTATACCCACTGCCTGTGATGAGGGCTACAGGCCCCGGGCCCTCAAACCCCAGACCCGACCCGCGGATGTTAGGAGCTCCGGCTTCTTTGACCCGGCTTCAGATCAAGCTCCCGGAATTGTCCCCTTAGCGTCCCCCTGGTTTCGACGGTTGTTTTCTGAGTTTAGGCTTGAGGTTGTAAATGGGTGGTGTGGCGCCACAGCGCTCCAGAGTTTCTTTAGGAATTCACGGGAAGGGGGCGGGGGTTAGGAGTTTGGAACTTGAGTAGGGCCTTAGAGTAACCCTGACTATGCGCACCCCCAAAGCCCTCTAGGTATTATAAGTTTCGGGACTTCGCGATTCGGGGTTCAGAGATGTTCGCCGGGAGTTGAGGCATGATCCTCACGCCCCGAGCCTTAGACCTTTCATCGCAGGGGCTTCAGGGAGCTCCGGTGGATCTTCAAGCTACTTCCAGTGGAACATTCACCCTACCGGGGGACCGACCCTGCGGAACCAACCAAATGAATGGGAAGGAACTCCTGGCAAAACAGCATTATGAGGGAATCTAGGGATAGGCAATGGTGCCCTCAAATTCTGGGCCCCTGGCCATCTGCATCTCCGGCCATGCAACACATAAACCTGGGCCGCGGCAGCTTCTTTGAAACAACCCCAAATACTCATCCCCACTGTCCGTATGGGATTGGCTCTCTCACAAAGGGCCTCTTTGAGGGATTCTTGGGACTCAAACCCCATCCGGGAAAGACATCCCAAAAAAGGGCAGCACCCATGGAGACCCTTAAGACCTGAAGCCTTGGCCCTCACTCCTGGGCCACCTTCCCAGGGGGGCCTTCGTCCCGAAACCAACCCCCCGAGCAGGACTTCTTTCACTCAAGACCCTCACAAAGGCAGTTCTCTGAATGGGGGCCCCTTTTGGCCTAATATATACTCATATACATATGGATAGATACATCGTACGGCAGCCTGATTTAGAGAACTACCCACATCCTCCTTGAACCCCTAGAAGGCCAGCGGCATGGTGATCACACGGGTGAGGTTCAAGCGCTCGAAGGCGAAAGTGTTTGGAGCCAAGGCACAGAAATGTCTGCGGAAAGCGAGGATGCATCTAGCTGAAACTTTGGGGAGGTTCAGGCCCGAAAACCCAACCTTTTGAACCTCTAAGCCCGAAATCCCGAATTACAAGCCCTGAACGCTCAACCCTTCCTGGAGCTCTCGGTCCCTTTCACCCCCAAAACCTGGCATTTCAAAGGTCAAAGGTCAGGCCACAGGGGGGTTGGATTTTAGGGTTTAGGGCTGGGGGCCCTAGCAAGGCTCGAACATCGAGCTTTAGGGCTGGGAGAAGCGATTTGGCACCCAGAGTTTCGGCTTTCTTGCCACCCGTCGGAGTTTAGGGTTCAGGTCTAGGGTTCAGGGCTTCTGGGGGTACACACGACTGGACGCTTCAAACCAGACAGTCCTGCACAAATCATGAAGGCTGTTGTATAGCTCATAGCCTTCGTTCTTCATACTGCTCCTTACTATAGCGCCCTAAACCCTTTCCTTGCATCTGGCTTGCTGATAACCCTTAACCTAAGCCCTAGGACTATACCTTTAACCCTAAGCACACCAAGTCTTGATCCCGCTTGGTGGACTCTGCGTGTGCAAACTGCTGTCGAAGCTGCGGTTTTTTCAGACTGACTAGCACCGACAACACCCTCACCAACCTGCATGCCACATCCACACCAATGCAGGCTTGGATTTAGGCTTGGTATGCCTTTTTCTGCGCTGCCCACGTGGTCCAGCACTTCGAGGATAGCGTCGGACCAGTAGGCGAAGGAGTGTGCCAGGGAAGCCTTCGACGGGTTGAGGGCGTCAAGGGTTTAGGGTTTAGCGCTTGGGGTTTAGGGTTTAAGATTTAGGGTTTAGGGTTAGTCAGGGTTTAGGCCTCTCTAAATAGAAGGGTGTGTTTTGGGTTCTGCGGGCGAAACCCTGTCGGTGTCAAGAAGGTAAGAGAATCCCATCTGCATCCACCACCAATGATACTTCCAGGGCACGGAGCAGATCTAGAACTTGCTGCACATGGATAGCAGCAGTTGAAGCACAGTATCATACTTCTCTGACCAAAGGCACAGAATCTGTTCAGGGAAGCCATGCGGCCCATGACACCTAAGTATTTCGAATCGTCTTTCTTGTTTTTTGTATAGGGATACAGGAGATAGCATGGAAATCATGAAATCATGCAGGTTCCACTACAGGTTCGAAACCTTGAAACCCAACATCCACCTTGAAAGCCGCACACCCCAACACCAAACTCACAAAACAGTCCATACTGGCAAAATGCCCTTTTTGCAACGAACTTTGGGTGTAGGGTTCAGGGTTCAGGGTTTAGGGCTTCGGGCAAGAATACCCTAAACCCTAAACCAGGAGTCAAACCTCAAGTTCAAAAGCCCCCAAAGCCCAAACGAACAAAGCGCCGACGACCGATTGGGTTTTCTGGTTGACCTGGGTTGGTTCACGCTTTGCCCTGTCTGCTACTTGTGGGTTCATGGATACCTCGAGTTCTAAGCCCTCAAAGTACGGCAAAAGCTCTAGCTACCATCCTTATCACCCCTGTGAAGCCAGGGTCTCTGAGCCGTTTATTTTCTCCTGAAACCCTAAACCCTAAACCCTAAACCCGAAACCCTTTTGCAACAGGCTTCTGAGGTCCGCCCGAAACCCTAAACCCTAAACCCTTCTTCTAAATACTCGAATGAACCTCCGACTGAGAGCCGAAGGCCCAGTTATAGGTATCTTGGCCTACAGAGGTCCTAAGAACATCTGTGAATCTGCAAGATGAGATCATTGTAGATACACACACTTATGATATCAGATATTTTTAGCATGATGTTCTACTGAGATATCTTATATGTCTATATACAAGATACCAGCCCCCGAAAACTTCACAGTAGAAGAGGTCGACTGCGCCTGGTTGTAGGCCTGCATGACCTGTGCTGCCATTCGGATATCAACGTGTAGTGTTCTCCAGGTTCCATGGAGTCGCGGCATGACGGGTATGACGGCTACTGCTGGTTTGGGTCTTGGGCGTCGAGAAAACAAACGCCCGAAGCCCAAGCAATATCTAGAAATCCCCTGTCCCCCTGACCCTAAACCTTTCTATCGGGAAATATGAAATATCCCCAGGGCCTAACTAGGTTTTGGTTCCTAAACCCTACAACCCTTCTTCCTAAACGCTACAACCCTAAATATTCAAGGGCTCGATTTCTCAATGGTCTTTGCGGCTTCTTGCTTGACGGCGTTTTGCCGTTTGTGCTTCGAGGTAGGAGGATTTATGTATTTGGGGGTTTAGGGTTTAAGGGTTTGTGTTGGAGTTTTTGTAGAGCCTTACATTGCCCTTTGCCATCACGAACAGGAAACACCTGACCTGAACCTGCCAAAGCCCAAAGCCAGGAGCAGAAAGCTTGCCCTGGGCGCCTGCGTCACCGTGGGGATGTCAATGGATTGTGCTCGGCAGAGCAACTCTGGGATATTGGCCTCACACTTTCTGGCTTTCGTCGATATGGGGCTGAGGGTTTCGAAGCCAAGAGTGGGTAAGATGATTCCTTCAAGGGCTCGTGCCTTCGGGTTTGCTCGAGACGCTGATTCATCAGGCACGGTATTTGCTGGTCTTACCACCGACACCTTACACCACCTCAAGACACCTGCTGGGCCTCGCTAGGGTTCGAATCGAAATATAGATGCCTATTTTACGTGGAATGCTTATTTGGGGACTTTTAATTTGACAAATAGGGCCGGAAAGCGGAATGCTAGTGGCAACCCGGGCCCGAAGCCCGAATGCAAGATGTTGTCACACGAGCGCCTGCACCTCGCATGTCCAAAGCCGCCATGCAACAATGCCAGCGAAACCCATGGAAACCCATACAAACCCAAACAAACTCCTACAAAAACCATTGTAAAGCCATAGAAACCCGCTTCAAGCCTAAAGCCTGAACCCTGAAGGGTTCGCAACCCTAATAAAGCCGCTTCGGCCCCCCTCGGGCGCCCCGCGAAGTACTGGAGTCCCGGAAATCTTGCCTGGGTGCAGGGTTTTGGGGGTTCAGGGATTCGCCTCTCTAAAGGCTTGTCGTGGGAGCAACGCCCTGGGCCTGGGCGACCACGGCATGGGCGGCATGGGGGTTCAGGCTCTGCCTTTGATTTGTGATAATGGGTGGAGTTCGACTGGTTTGGATGACTCCGGCGTTGCAAGAGCCCCAAATTCACGTCAGTGCCTCTCCAGGGACCCTCCAAACACCCTCCAAGCTGTTAAACCCCCTGAACCCCAGAACCCAGGAAATTTCAGGGGCCTGAAACTCTGCCGAAGTGGCGAAGTCCGAGAACTGATGCCAGTAGCGCATGGCATCGAACCGAGGGCCCCTTCGCAGCCACCAGCCTGCCCCGAGTTGGGCACGGTACGGAAGGTTTGGGGCTGAAGGTCCGAAGGGTTGGGGCCGGGGTTTACGATTCAGGAGCTTAGATTTTGGCAACACGCCTAGCCACAGCATGGAGGGTCTAGTAGTCTAGGGCTTTGGGCTTTTTGAAGGGCTCGGTGCTAGCGACGAGTAATTTCTCACAGATGACTCAGCAGACTTGCAACAAGGCATATTCTCCCAAGAACAAGGCTGAGGGACAGAAGTCAAGCACCACCCGGTTACCCCTACATATGGACCCCAAGACTTAACATGAAACCTGAAGCCCTGAAGCCCCGCCTCCTTTGCGCATCCGCGTCCAATCGTTGGAGTCCCGATTCGACATTTGGAAGGGAGTGTAGGGGTGCCAGGACCTCTCTCCTGACAGGACTGCGAAATGTGTCCGGTTTGGGGTTTAGGGTCCATATGCGGTAGTTCCCTCCTGTTAGACCAATAAGGAAAAGTATAACATGTCCCGCAAGGAGCCAATTGATAAACCAGTGTTGAATCACACTCGGACAAGCCAGGTTAGGCATCCACCAGTCAGAAGTCCCCGCAAAGGACCCTCTTAACCCCACCAACTCCTCCGGTGCGCCGGAAGGTCACCGGCTCATCCGAGTTATCCTCCCACAGGGCTTAGGGTTTAGGGTTTAGGGTTTAGGGTTTAGGGTTTAGGGTTTTTAAAGGGTTTGAGGTTTAGGGTTTGGGTTTAGGGTTTGGGTTTAGGGTTTAGGGTTTAGGGTGCATTATGACAACTGAACTGCAGTTCGTTAAGAGAAAACCAGCGAGAAAGCACAAGCGAGAAACCCCCAATATCCCAAAACCTCCCCGCCCAAGCCCTATTTTGCATCTGGGATCATGGATGGATGTAGCCAGAACGCTCTCCGAGCCGAGGGTGCGACGTCGAAACTACAGGGCTTGCTACGTGATACTTACAAGAGAAGACGCCTACACCCCCAAACCCTAAACCCTAAACCGTAAACCCTAAACCCCAAAAAACACTGAAACCGCAAACCCAGGCTCTCCTTCCGCCGCACTACGCCCATGGAGGTTGCGGAGTCCTACTTGCGCCACTCGTAGGGCTTAGGTTGGCAGAAGTTCTGCCAAGATGTAGGGTTCAGGGAGAGGGTTTGGGGTTCCGGGTTTTGAGGCTTCAGGTTTCGGGCTTGGGCCCGAGGTTAGGGCTTGGAACTTGTGGTCGAAAAAGGCTGCGCCATGCGCCTGCATATCAGGCTGCTGCATGTGTGCCGTAACTTCTGGCTGCGCGCATATGGTCGCAGGCGCGTCCTTGTCGGTCTCGTTGGCAGCAACTGCCAAGAAGAACTTCCTCAGAACCGTGGCGTCGATGCAGGGGTTTAATGGGATTTGGAGCGCCTTAAAAACCGTATAAGACAGGATCCTATCTTTCTGCCGTACAACAGATGGTGATGCACCCTCTGGCACCCTTTGTTGCATAAATCCCAAGCGATTTTGGAAAGGGCACATGGCTGACTGGAGCCTGTATTTCCCCACAAATCCGCCGAGGTCTCCGGCACCCTTATCCCTCCCCAATTGCACTCCCCCCCCCCCGGCCCCCACTAGCACCCTGCCCCCACAACGCCCCCACAACGCCCCCACCACCCACCCCCCCACCACCCAACCCCCTCCAACCCCCACCACCCCGCCAGCCACATCGCCAACGACGCCCGCTTTCCTCTTCATATTTTCCTTGATTTGTTTGTGGTGTGGCCCTTCCAACTACTTCCTTCTTCGTGCTGGCGCTGTCCTGCATGTATTCCGCGTCCAGCTTCAGCACACCTTCGCCATGTGTACTTGGACGAGATATGCCACCCCCCCCCCCCATTAGCGACAGGTGTGCGCATGAACTGCATGCCCCTCTCGACAGCAAGCGCCTCGCAGCTGTGCAGGCCCCGGTCGCATAGCGTTAAAATTTGGATGGTCATCAGCTCCAATCTCAAGGCCCCCTCTAATCACCAACATCTCGAATCTAGTGGATCAAGCCTCAGAGCCTACTAGTACTACATGCATGACAGCCAACCCTCTCCACTACAGATCCCAAAGCCCCCCAAGCCCAAGACCCCAAGAATCATCTCGGAAGTTAGGCCAAGCAGCTCATAGAGTTTAGAGATTTAGGGTGTTGAGTTTAGGGTATAGGGCTAGGAGTTTAGTGGCCAGCCCCCCAGGAGCCGCAATCGAGGCAGAAGGCGCACACCCAAAAGCGGACCCAAGGGCCTGATTTGCCCTAAAACGTGGACCATGAATCCATGCCTAAGGATTCTTCCTGACGTTCGGGGAGTTTTGGGCATTCGGCGGGTTTGGGGTTTAGGGTTCAGGGTTTAAGCGTACCACGTGATGCTAAAGGTTCCTTCATGGTTCGTCAATGTGGCCAGTTACCCTCTTGAAAAAGTTCTGCAGTATGGGCCCCTTGGGTTTTATAGGGTATGCAAGGGGTATAGAAGGGGTTCCCCCCAGTAAGGATGGAAACCCCCACCCCGATGGAAGGCAGGCGGCTGATCCTCCATCAATCCTCCGCTGAGGGGGCGCGCGATTTCAAGAGGCTCTATACCAGGGTTTAGGGTTTAGGGCTTAAGGTTTACGGGGCTTCGGGTTTCGGGCTTCGGGTTTCGGGTTTAGGGTTTAGGGTTTCGGGTTTCGGGTTTAGGGTTTAGGGTTTAGGGTTTAGGGTTTAGGGTTAGGGCTAGGGTGGGCTACGGTGCCTGTTTTTAAATACCCGGACATCTAAACAGTCAAACAGGTATTTCATACTACCTCCGTGGAGCGCGGCGTCAGGCCGCCCATCCGGAAATAGACCCTCCAGCAAGCCTTCCCGCGCCAAGCCCCCCTCCAGCCAACACCCCCCCCCCCCCCCACCAACCTCACAACCAACCATCCAAACCCCTTTCAGAGGGGTGTTGGCTGGAGGAGGGGGGGTTGGCTGGGAGGGGGGAGGGGTGCTGGAGGGGGGGTTTGGCTGGAGGGGGTCGGGTTTGGCTGGGGGTTGGCGGTTGTTGGCTGGAGGGGTGCTGGAGGGGGGTTGGCTGGGGAGAGGAAGGGTGAGGAAGGTGGGGAGGGGGTTGGCTGGAGGGGGGAGGGGTGCTGGAGGGGGGGGTGGGGGGGTGGGTTGGTGGAGGGGGGGGGGGTTGGCTGGAGGGGGGTTGGCTGAGAAGAGGAAGGGGTTGGCTGGAGGGGGGGTTGGGAAGGGGGCGGTTTGTTTGGAGGGGTTGGGGGGGTGCTTCGGGAGGGGCTGGAGGGGTGCTGGGTGGTTGACGGGCTTGGCTGGAGAGGGGGTTGAGAGGGCGGTTTGAGGGTGTTGGCGGGAGGGGTGGAGAGGGGTGGGGGTTGGCTGGAGAGGGGGTGGGCGGTTGGCTGGAGGGGGGCTTGGAGGGGGTGGGGTGTTGGCTGGAGGGGGCTTGGCTGAAGGGGCTGGAGAGGGGGTTTGTGGAGCCTGGGGGTGGAGGAAGGGTTGGGTTTGGCTGGAGGGGGGGGTGGATGGGGGGCTTGGCTGGAGGGGGCTAGTGCATAAACACGAAAACATGCGGATTTAAACTGGTCTTTTATACTACCCCCCTGGCCGTTGCTGGTTGGCCGCCCTCCACTTATTTAAAAAACGTCACCGTATGCCACCCGACAACCCCACAAAACAGGCCCTTTCTAGGGTTGACCATGCGGATTCTCAGGCCAAACAGCCCATCGTTTGGGGTTTAGGGTTTAAGGTCGAGGGTTTGGCCGGCCCCTCCCATTCATAGTTTTTTGCGACTTGGGGCTGAGGCCATCTTTCGGGCCCCAAGGCTAAACCCAGGATAAGGGCCACCCGAAATCCTACATCCCAAAACATCCCAAAAGATCCCAAAACATCCCCATACATCCCCAAAACAAGAAGGGATCCGCCATCGGAATCCGAAGTTCCGAGGGTGGCATCTGCCATGCTCTTCGCCGTCTCCAGGTCGGTGGCGGTCATGATCCGCTTCAGGGTCTGCACCTGGTGCTTCCAGGAACTTCAGGCTTCGGACCCAGGGCTCCAGGCCCACTAAAACCTGAAACCTTTGGCGTAAACCCTAAACTCTTCTTGGTAAGCCGGGAGCATGCCACAGAGGGAGAACTCATCCGAATGAGATGTCGAATCAGAATCACGCAAGGGTCGTTAGCCCGGGGGTGCTTCTTCATCACCCGACGCTATTGACAACAAGTGTTGCAGGAAGGCAGCTTGGGTCATCGGGGTTTTGCGACCCTGCTGGCGAAACGTTCGGTTCACCAAGCCCGAAACCCCGAACCTTTAAACCCTAAGCCCTTTTGAAACCGGAACTGAGCTCTATGCCGGCGTCGCAAACACCCTAAACCCTAAACCCTAAGCCCTTTGGAGTTTTCAAAGTTTTGGGTCTTGGGGGCTTCGGGGCTAGGAGCTCATGGTTCGCACCTTTGGACATTCCAGCGGACTGTGCAAGACTGAAGGCTTTAATGTTCAGGGTGTATCTTACTTCGCCAGCAAACAAGGAATTAAAAAGGTCAACACGTACTACTCCTTCGAAGCAAGGAAACCCGAAGGTTGAACGATTGGGTGCGCCGGTTATAGGGATTAGGGGCTTGTGCAACTTCCCGTGGGTAGATCCTATTCCATCAATATCCCCACTAAAAATCCACCTCCACCCCAAGTAATTCTAGGCTTTAGGCCGAAGGGCTTCAAGAGCCTCTAAACCCGAAACCCGAAACCCTAAACCCTATCCCTAAACCCTAACGCCTAAACCCTGTGTGCAGGAACTCTTGTGCTTGCCCAAGGAGCCGCCGCTATGCGGGCGGCCTTGGCCGCAGAGACGCCCCAGGCAGGATCTGGCGTGCCGGCCTCTTCTTAGCAGCTACTATTTGCTTAAGAACCCCAGAAGAATTAATAATGATCATAATCCCTACATTACCCTTAATAAGGAGGAATATTGGTTTAGTTTTTCGGGGTTCTTAAGCAATTAGTAGGTAGGGGTTCTGCCCAGAGGGTGCAGGATTCAGGGTCAGGGGTTGTGCTGTGGAGAGAAGGTTGGGTCTGCGATAGACTCAACTGAAGAAGCCGTTGAAATACTCAATCAGGTCTTTCAACCTCCTCACCTCAGAGCGTAGGGCTTAGAAAGGAATATCGTAATAGAAAGATATAGCCATACCTAATCACATTTAACCACATTACATAGTAACCAAAATATATGTTAATAATCAGAATAATCATAAGAACAAGAAGACTAAGAATACCAAAAACGTAATGGTACAAGCATCTAGTCATCTAATCATATAACAATACAACAATGACACAATAGCACACTATTACAAATAGCAACATAGGGTGTCTGGCGTAGAAAATGAAATATA